AAAGAATTTATTTTCCTTTATGGTTTTTTCTTTGAAATTTCGTTTTCCAGAAAAAGAACGAATGGGGTACAAAAAGAGTTCAATTCACGTCTGGTACCCTGTTTAAACCAAACGCCCTTACAGGCAGGTACACTTTACTCGCTTTTTTACGTTTTATAATTTAATATTCAGTTGTAGCAAGTTAACGAGCTATAATGATTTTTTTTAAGTCCAAGTAAGATTACAATTAAGTGCATCTGTCTAAATAAGGGCGTATAATAACGTCCAATTTATAATTATTCGATTTCCTTTTAACGAATACTTTCTTGCATATGATATATATTAAAAATATTAATAAAATAAATTTATAAAATGAGGTAGGTATGTACGCCTATGGCAGATCAAACAAAATTGTCGGTAAAGGTTCCCAACGAGTTTTTATGATCTGCAATTGATATTGGAAGAACTATACCTACTTGTATGTTGACTTGCTAAAAATGTTTTATTAATCAGGTATTGAAATTTGTTTTTGTTTTAATGCAAGAATAATATCTTTGCATATTTAATAGGTATTTAATTAAAATAAATGTTTTTTTCTTCAAAAATTAAAACCTCCCGCTTTTTATTTCTGAAAATCTGGCAGCCCTACCTCCAGCATGGACAAAAAAAGAAAATTTGCTCAAAAATTTAAGACCGAATGGGAATCGGAATTTAAAAACTGGCTGGCGCCTGGAAAATAGAGCTGTGGCAAACCGTATGTATTCGTTACTCAGTAACGGGTAGTCGGTCAGATACGAAATATGAATTCGTTACTGCATTTTAAATTTCGTTACTCGCATCCGCATCGTCGCATAACGCACAATAATAATACTTGAGAATACATACCGCCACCGGTTCGGTGTGCAAGATGCGAGATTGCCCGATGGGCGATGCGAAATGCGGGTGTGGCCTTGATGCGAATTGACTATCGAACCGCACGTCGACTGGGACTCTGAGAGTTCGCAACGTACTTTTGTTTATATTTATGTATTTATTTATTTCAGTTTTAAAGAATAGTATAATAGTTGTTTTTCTGTTGCGTGTTGCAAGAATATAATATGTTTTTGTTTATTAAAGTTATGATTTTATAGAGTATTATTATTGTTTCTACTAGTGTGTTAGAAAAATATGTTTCTGTTCAACCTGTCTGACGATATTTTATTTTGCAAAACTTCACATCAGTTCTCATTGCTCATGCTCAGTGAACTACACGACTTTGTTACTAATTACAAATTCGCTATGTATTTATTTAACCAACGATTCGATATCTAATTTCATCCACACCATCTGTTAGACAGTACCAAAACCTAACAACCGAAGCAATGCGTACGTACGATTAGTTACCGACACCAATTCCGCATCCGCATAGACGTGAGACATGAGGTCCACACGATGCGTGTTCTGTAGATTCGTATCACAGTAACGAAAGTAACGAGTAACGAATATTTTTATACGGGTAGTCAGATCCGAAGTAACGAATACATACGGGTATTGATTTTCTCGTTACTTTTACAGCTCTACTGGAAAAACAGATAGGGTTATTACAAAGTATGCAACAAGAATATTCATGTTAGTTCAGGAAAATTGCAACTTGTGAGGCATCAAGACTTCGAGGCACATAGAAAAAAATGCAAATCCGTAAAAACTCAGCAGAGTTTAGTATCATTTGTAAAAACTGGATAAGAAGGGACGAGTGTACAAAAAGAGGGGATTTGTATATTTCTGCCTTTGTGACAGAACATAATTTGCCATTTAGTGTCACGGAACATATCGCGCAGCTGGTCAGATTCGCGGCGTTAACTATTTATTGAATATGAAATATAAAATGAAAATGAAGAAGGAGAAATGACTTCATACACCACATCGGATGCATCCGAGATGTACGTAAATGTAGTTGCAGCAGATGTGTCCGATACAATGAACTGGAGTGGGGTAGAAAGCCAATGTACATATTGTATCAAGATGCAACTTCTATGGGCTCAGCACTTTTTATTGCTCATGTCACTTGGGAGTATTTATAATAACCATTTTCTGTTTCACGTTGTTATTTTCCAGTCCAAAAGCTGGTGGATCAGACAATAAAAATGTGAAATAGAAAATGGTTATTATAAATACTCTCGAGTGAGATGAAAAATAACCTGTCTGCGCCCATAGAGTCGCATCTCAAGCCTATATTGACAGGCATTCTACCCCATTCCAGTTCATTGGTCAGATGTGAATAAACAAACGCTTGAAAGGTAAAAATTGTATTGGATGTGGATATTCAAACGTAGTAATAGTTATTGAGTTATGGTAACAGATTCGCCAATATGCCATGCTAATTATGGAAAATGTGCCATAAAATTAAATAAAACACATCATTGATAAATTCTTTTATTCTTCCATATACAAAAAAAACATGTTAAATGCAGTTTTTCCCAGAATTGCAGCTACAATTCGACTTGCTGCAATGAATTTTCAGTTCGATTCTATATTTAGCAATTGCAAGAAAAACTGCACCACCTGATTGAAAGGACGTTAGTATCCAGACGTGCAATACGAATTGTCATAATTTTACCTGCAGGCAAGGACAATTGCGAATTGTAAACTGTCTCTATAATGATTCCGACTGTCAGAACGAGTCGGATCAGCAATGGTGCGGACATGCGCATTATTATCTATTATCCGTCTAAACTACAAGATTACCCAAAAAATATATATTTTTAGAAATAGCTAAAACTGTGATAAACCGAAACAAGCGATTTTCGGCAATTGGTCATTTTTCTACCAATGCACAGTGGTCGGAAATCGACTAAAACTTGGCCAACAGTCAAGTTATAGGTAAAAAGACTTCAAATTTTGTATACGAGGGTTTTTTATGTCGCTAATTACGAATTTGTAATTATTTTCTCAAAATACAAAATGGCGCATCCAATACGGCGGACAGTTTCTGAAAAAACTTGCTTATTTTTAAAATAAATCAGCATAGAGGGTTTTTTTGGGCCACTGATTACAAATTTGTAGTTATTTTGTTAAGATACAAAATAACGGATCCAACATGGCGGACATCTTCTAAAAAAACTCGCTTAACTTTGAATTAAATAAGTATAAAAGAGTTTTGTGCGTCTCTGATTACGAATTTATAGTTATTTTGTTAGAATATAAAATGGCGGATACAAAAAGGCGCACAGCTTTCGAAAAAATTCGCTTAATTTTTATTATAAATCAGTATAGAGGGGTTTCGTGAGTCGCTAATTACAAATTTATGGTTATTGTTTTAAAATATAACATGAACGATTTAATATTCAATATTCAAACTGCATGTTTTGGGTTTTCGAGGTAGTTCAATATACCTAAATATAATACAAAATGTAATTTTAAATGTAAAATATTCTTAACAATTTTTTAAGCTTTTCGGAGCATTTTAATTTAACACGTTAACCTCCGTCTCGGTCAATATGACCGAGAATTAACTCTCCTCCAGGCCGACTCGGTCTATATGACCGAGAATTTTTTTTAGAACAATTACTAACTTCTACACAGGGCTGGCCTGGTCAATATGACCGAAACACATTTCCGAGATTTTCATTTTAGTGGAGATGAATATTTAAAAATTTCTTCTACAACATGGCCCAAAAAATGAAAACTTTAAACTCATATGGAATAAGCCTCCGGCCCAAACGTAAATTTCCAAATTTTTTCAGTTGAAGTGAAGTCAGTAATTCATGGTACATTTTCACACCACCTCTAAGGGTTGGTTTGACAGTAGCTCTATATGACCTCATAAAATAAATACATGGTGGCCCGTAAATAATGGCTTATAGCGTAAGATTATTTCTGATACATACCATCTTTTTTTTAATGAATCAACCTATTTTACTTCTCCAATTAAACCATATTGAAGAGCAAATAATGCCCCCAGATATTTTTGGACTAAGTGGAAAAATAAGGCAGAAGACACCTTTGAATCTTTAAATGAAACCAAAATTATAAACTTATTACGACTATCAAGAGGCGGCCTCTGATCTACTTGCAGATATGGAAACAATAATAGATTTTTTTTTAGTCTTTGACATAATTTTTCTTTTTATCCATCGTTGTATCGATCACCACAATTATTTTTTAACGCAAGGAAAGAAAAAAAAATAAAAAATTGTAATTTTTTATCATTGATATAAGAAGAATAAATGATGACCAACATCTTGATTATTACTGGTCAGTTTCCAATATTTTCGTATTTAATGCCAGACATACGTTGGATATACGAATAAATTACATTCCTAACCTAGTGGAGAATACCGTTTTATAATACCACTGGAAAATAAGCAGTGGAATTATTACCGATGGGAACATTTTTTCATTAAGTCGAGAATCAAGACCCAGGAGACCTGTGTTGTCAATGTGAAGCAAATTACGTATATATTATTGTTACCCAGCACCCTGCAGTAGCCTGCATCTGTTATAGGAAACGTATGAATAAAAGAAGTTTGTCACCCATCTTATCCCTGTGCCTCGGTTGTCATAAGTAAAGGTGCGAGTAAAAGAGGAAGAGAATATTTGAAAAATGTCTAGAAATGTCAGTTCAATGTCAAGAAACATCTGGACAGTTCGAGAAGGTTCTAGAAGGTGGAAGCGAGCTATATAAGTCGATGCTCCTGACGTCAGAGTTTGAGTTTCATGATAGAAGTTATGCGTTCATGTAAATTGAATTGTAAAATTGAGTTGAAATAAATTGAGTTATCAAAAACTTGCGTGACATTATTATTAAGTTTTTTATGTTCAAATAATGCAATAATCTTAAGCATGGTATATTATTCTGTTAATTAATAATTCTGTATTTAAAACATTTTTTCCATAATGTTTACAATGAAAGAAAATTTTCTTTCTATATATGGCAACGCTGTTAGAGATTCCTGAAATTTTCCCACTATTATTTTGAAATCGTACTATGGTTGTTTTTTAGGTCTTGTAATACTACATTCTATCCTTGTAAAATGTTATAGGTAATTTGTCCTGGGGTGCCAATTGTAAGGTGTGTGATGAAGAATGTTCAAGAGAGCCTGGCTTGGTAGATTTTCGATGTTGTTGGTGTCAAGTAACTGTACATACAGAATGTCTCAAGCAAATAGAAGAGGTAATTAACTAAATATTTCAAAAATCTAGAATTTAAGAAATGTGTATTTATACATGTCATTCAAATGCTTTTAATACAGAAAGTTATTGAATTATGTGTGAACATATTAAAATTACAAAATTTTATTGTAACGATCGTTTAATTTAAAAATAGTCTATTTATTAAAAAAGAGTTTATTTATAATTTATTTATAATGTACTAATTAATTTATTTAAAACTTAGGAACTATTATAACTTACAATTCTAATTTATTTATTACAATTTAGCTTTTCTATCAAACACTTCTATCGACAAACTCGCGCTTTTTATATAAAGCCAGCTCTGCACTATCACATTCTCGACCGTCTAGAAACTAAAATTTCTTCATCTATGACAGCCGCCGCGAAAAGATTTCTCTGGTAGCTTCTCGAAGCAGTGCGTTTGTTTCTATATGGCTAGCGCTAGACTTCATATCGCTGGTAAAGTAGTAAACAAAGAACAGAGTCGGCTTTGCGCGTCATTGCCACCTCCTTAAGAAATAGTTCCTCCTGGGACTAAAACTGAATGTATCTGCAACTGGACCCACTTTTACAATTTCCATTCGTATGAAAATAAGAGACGGTTTTTGCTGAAACCTGAAACCGGGCGAGTGGCTGCAGACCAGTATTTGGACCTCGGAATCTTGGAAGATTACTTCCAGCATGTTTCTAATGATCCTCCAATTTAGCTAGTTGCTCTCTATCTTGGACATGGCTAAATAAATTCTGCGTCTGGTGGTGTTGTTAAGTGTCGTTTTAATGTTTCAAAGGCAAGGTATCGTTGATTCGAGGCAGAGGATAACTTTCTTTCTTGGTTACATTGTTCAACTGACGGTAATCCACACAGAACGTCGTAGTTTCATCGTTTTTCTGGACGAGAAACCCATGTGCTGGTAAAAGGTTCTATCACCCTCCATTTTACGAACAATCCTTTCAGCTTCCTTTCTCTTGGCCTTTGGTAATCTTCGAACTGATTGAGGAATCGGTCTGACGTCACCAGTGTCAATTTTGTGTTTTACAACAGAAGTTCTTCCTGTTTTTCCCTTTTTGGTACAAAAATGTCACGATATCATCGAAGAAATTCCTTTATTTTCTTTTTCTCTAGCAACTGCAATTATTAGCTCGAATTTGTCCTTGGAATTATCAGAAGTTGTTGTCTGACGAATTCTGGAAGTTAATGGTATAAAAGTTCCGATTCTAGTCTCTTTCTTGATGGCAATTAGGAAATCATTAACGTTTATAAGACGTACTGGAATTTCTTTAGCAGTCGTGACCAATCCCTTTCCTATCAGAATTCAAAAGTGTTTTACATCACTCCTTTTTTTCTGAATACGTAGAGGCAGATTAATCTGTATGAAGACGTGACCATCTGAGCCTTATTATTTTTCTCAGATATCGGTTTTCGGAGCGTGTTGTTGAACCAAATAGAATATTTTTTATAATTTAAAAAATCGTTAAATGAAAGTAGGATAAACCTAATATACAAGAAATAAATTTATTGTACAAGAATTAAATTGATGTAAGAATTAAATTTAAATGAGCAAAATATATGCTATAAAAAAAAAGAAAATACAAAAAAAAAACAAACTGTAAGATACAGTTGAGATCAATCAGTGTAATTAAGCTTAATAACAATATAACCTTTTTGTTTTTCAATAATTCATTAAGTGAGTTTTAAATTGATTTAGAGTCTTAGAACCCTTTATATAACTTAGCAAATTTGTATAATCAATAAAGCCTTTAATAAGTTAACCTTTTTGTGTTGAATGCCTTAATTATCGTTAAGACTGGTATTGTAGTTGTAAATTTAATAATTAAAAATTATAAAACTATTAAAGTAGGAAAGTAGAGATTATGTCTTGAATTTTTGGTATGAAAGACGCCACTCTCAGCGAAAAAATTATTTAGTCCAATAAAGTTGGCTTTATGAAACTGATAGAAGAAAACATTTTCTTGGTCAGAAAAGAGAAGAGGGTGCAAGAGATCAATTTTTGACAAAGGAAGGTCACATTCCTAGCACAGATCAAGTATATCGGGCCGGTGGTGTAGCGGTCTAACGCACTTATATTCATTTATAAGCAAGTTTATGTATCAGAGACTGCTGGGCTTCGAATCCCAGACCGGACCATGTGGATTTTAAATTAAATTGCGTGGTTCGGTATAGGATTTGATGTGTACCGTATTAATAGAAATTCAATTTCTGTTGATATGACATGCAGATTATAAAAAATCGCCATACATTACCGTCTCGATGATGGTGGGTGAGGTTTTCCGGGTTTTCCTCACCTGTAAGTCAAATGGCACCATCAATCATCTTTAAGTCGCCCCGGAGCGCCACGGCAAATAATAATAATAGCCGTCCCTTTCCCCGCACAAGCTCAGCTTTTGGGGTTAAAATTCACTCGTAAGGGGATGAATTAGGGAGAGTATTATTATTATATGGTGTTGAGAATTAAAAACAAAATCTAGTTGGTTACATGGTGTTAATCAGAGCAGTAGCGGACTCAGGCAGTATTTTAGTGACTACGATATTATTGCCTTTGAGCTGCCATTCTACAAGCGGAAGATTGAAGTCTACACATACAATCAATTTATGGTTGGTATATTTTGTGTGAAGTGATTCACATAATTTGGCAAAGGATAAATAGCTTCCAATGTATGACACGACTTCTATTTTCACTTGTGTGATTTGGAAGTCGTAGGTGGCGCCAGGCTGTTATGTAGAACAGGGGTTGCCCGGGCGCCAGTTTGCTCTGCGACCCTCAGGTGCACCTGGAGTGCACTCAAAGTAACCTCAGCGGAGACAGTATCTCCAAGCGGTCGTATACGTATGAGGTAGTACGTAGTACCTAAATAAAATATATAAAAAAACAATAATGTCCACTCCCTAATCAACGGTAACTATCTTGTACCTTCACCCTAAAGGTGATTCTGGAGGAACTAGACAAAAGGGGTATAGTTAAAAGAAACACAGACAATTTATATACAATAATATATTTCAAATGAACGGTAACCTCGGGCAATATTAACCCCAAATAATAACAGTCTGCATTTACAACAAATTCCCCACAAAAATAATAGTGAAACTAATATAATAAATATGTACAGTAAGAAAAATGTTTATAAAATTGCCTACAAGAAAATAGTAAAACTAAAATAATAAATATAAAGTAGTAAGACGGATGCTCTTAACATTTCGGAAATTCGGAACAGTATAATTAGGGTTGCCACCTGTCCATTTTTGAAAAGGACAGTCCTTTTTTGAAGCAAAATGTTTTTGTGGCTGTTTAAAGCTTAAAATGTCCTTTTTTACGGCAAATGTCTCTTTTCACTGCACATATTTTTGGAAGGGAGATGGTTTGTACAAAAAGCTGAGCTTTTTTTAGAAGCTCGTTAGAATGACGAGGAGGATTTATTGTTGTTACAAGCTCGGCGACCTTTTTTTTTCAGTTCAATTTTTAAGTTCAGTAGAAGGATGAGGACCGGAGCCTCTGTCAGCATCGTAGTCCTTTATTCACTTTTCAAAAAGAGGGCAACGCTAAGTATAATTTAATCATCGGAATGTTTAACAAAAATAATATAACATCAGAAAACAAATGATTAAATCCATAATTTAAATTAATTTTCAGAACGTAGTTCGGAAATTCCTTGCCAAAAGTAAAAATTATCTGTGACAACGGTATTCTCAATAGAAGTTAATGTAGCAGGAATAAATTATTTCAATTCATCGTTTCACTTCGCGTCGCTATAGCTAAACAATGGGCGTGTTTAGTGTGAACGAATTTAACGAATCTAATGTTATTAACTGTTTAAGCACAAAAAACTTTTTTTTATGCAATAAATTTTTTAAATAGATAATAAATAATAAAGTTATAATACTTTAAAAATTTCACTTTTAAATCAATTATTTAAAACACTATTTTTGCATCTGCATCATTTACTGCGTCATAATGAAGCGCCTATTTCTATTGGTCACTAAAGAATCTGTGATACCATAACACATACAGTTGATCGTTATTTTTTGTAATAGTGACATTTATACTTTCTAAAATCGGCTCAAAAAATGGTTTCATTTCTCATGATACAACAAATGTCAAAATTTCTAAACTCAAATCGATTGTGGGAAACATTGAAATTGCTTTTAAAAAATGTGATAAAATAAACATTTGTTTAATTTTGCGTTATCTTAAAAATATCTGATTAAGTACTTGGTCCCTATGAGAAGTAAAAAAAAAAATCAGTCAATCTGATAAAATGTTTATAAAAGTTCTTCAAAATCTAGACATTCAAAAACGATAGTGGACTAAGGGCTGTTGCAAAATACAAACCAGCATCGTGCTTTTGTATTTATTTTGATGTAAGTAAAGATAATCTTGAATTGTTTTTGTTTCGAATGTTGATCAACTAGTAGGTCAATATAGGTACCTACCTTTTTAATTAACACTGATTCTGAGGGTACTAATTAGTTTGCATTATTTTTTAGGTGGAAGAAGATGCAGCAAACTGGATCTATTTTAAAATTATGAGTAAAAATTTGACAATAAAACAAGAAGGTTCTTTAATTGACCCTGCCAAAAAAAGATTGAAAGTTTGAATTGTATTGTCATTCCATATATAAATGTTATTAATTACTTAAATGATTATAATAAAGCTTGCCTGTTATTTATTGTATTCTTTTTAAATAGGAATGGATAAATAAATTACCTACAATATGTATCAAAACTTAATTTATTAAACTTGTGTATTATATATTATGTTCAGATATGTTTCCATTATTAATATGTATTTAACAAAAGCTAATAGATAGATAGTTTTGCGAAATCTATGCAACTCCACAAAAGTAAATGACTCGACTATATCTACACAGTAAACTGTCACTGTCTTACCATAAATAAACCTTTTTAAAAGACTCGATTAACAGTAATATAATAGGTAATTGATAAATAAATATAAAGAAAACGACAAAACTTATTTTTATTTGAATTCATTATAAATATATAACACTTCCAAAAAATATTTGCCGGCTTCATAATATCATTTAGTTCTTGTTAAGAGAAATAGACTTCTATTATTTGAACGTCCTTATTTATTTCAAAATTTGTAAATTCAACACAAAAAACTCATTGTTTATTAGAAAGCAACATTTGCAGGTGAATATGGAAGTATAATTTTCTGGTCACTTTGCACTCGATTTAAATATATTCACTCTTATTATTTATAAAAAGCACACATTTAATGTTTTTAATTCGAAAAAGAATCGACACCCTCAAATCATTAGAACTTCAAACTTTTGACAACAGTGGCCTTTTCTAATAACACAATGTTGAGGTAATGGAAAGTTATTCACTTCGATGGTGTTCAGAAGCCACAACAAGAAAGCAACACTATACACTCACCTTAAAAAAAATAGAACTATGTAAAATGATTTAATACCGTATTTTGAGCTTTTTAATATTGACAGGAATTGAAATTACCTTCGAAAGCAAAATATTCTGTGAATTTACAAGATATGACCTTTTCCTTTTGTTCATTTATTACTGAATAACGCTATAAACTTTTTGTGTTCTGGTGTAATTCTAGCTTTAATGTTACAAATGGTAACCGAACATATGATAGTGCACTTCCTTGGAAGACCTACAATAAAATAGAAAAAGTTAACAATAGTGAGTAGTGAGTTTGTATAATAAAAAATTGTTTCTTTCTTAAACACAAATCTCTTTAAATACAATAATTCTAGAAAGATTTGGAGCGTAGAACGTGTATATACTTACGTTGCCAGCCAACAAACTTTAATTATTTTTATAAAAAATCATTATTCTTGTTATAATCCACCTTGGGTAAGTTGTCTAAAGATTCTTCTTTTAATCCTGTTTGTACTTTGGCCATTTTTAAAAAATTAAATCATTTTAAAATAAATCAAAATAATCTCGCACTCGAAAACATAGACATTTTAGACGCACAGATGAAACCACTTTGCCAGACTTAGGGAAAATATTTCGCGATATGGCGATTATGATTTGAATAACATTTCGATTAAGAAGAAAGTTTATTGAAATAGTGTCAAGTTTCATAAAAACTGAATTTAAACAATTATTCTTTAAGTTTTAATATATATGTTTTTGTGTTAAATTATACGATCTTAACCTCTAAAATGTCGGTTATCCGGAATTTCAATAATTCTTTATAGGAAGCGGCAACAAGGCAAAAACATATCGACTACTGTCTGGAAGGTTATACATTTGCCAATCAGATTTTAGGCTTCATTATGACGATGCTTAAAAATCATTGTGGCGCGCGTTTCAAATTTGCTTAATTTTTTTGAATTTTAAAAAATTCTTGTAGCAAAATTTGAAAAGAGAAAAATTTCAAGAACATATTTTTAGATTAGATTTTGTGCTAGCTTTTAGAAAAAAATATAAATTTCACTAATCACGCCCATTGTTATTTTCCACGTGTTAAATCAAAAATTACAAAAAAGGGACCAGCGCCGGGCGTTCCGGTGTTAGACCAGGGAATGTGGTTCAGACTTCTGAGAAATTCAGCATAGTTAAAATTTATCTATGCGGAATTGTCGTTCCCCGATTATAAGAATATTTACAAAAGGGATGAGGATAATGGAATAGCGTTGCCTCGAGATAGATGGTGAATATGGAATTAAAAGTTTCCACTGGTTGTCGGAGTGGCGGAGAATTTAGTGGTAGTTTTAAGAAGCTACGTCTTCAAAATCAGACTGCTATAAAACTATCTTACGAAAGTTCCGAAATTCTACGCGTGATCTAAAAATTCGGTTTTAATTAAAGTTTAAAAGTTTTTCGGACTATAACAAAGGAGTTGTTTGCGAATATTCACTAAGCAACGGTTTTTTTTTAATTTACTTTAACACAAGGTACGGTAGCCTAAGAGCGATCAGAAATCAGCAGAAGCTGGTTTTATATTTTACACTCGGACAAAGTTTGGTTTCCGAGTGGATCGGAGTAGGAGTAGCCAATATTTACAAATCGTAGAACTGAAAATAACGTCCTTTTGAAATTTGCGGAAATGACCAGATAATTTACATGAATTTGAGCTTTTAATGATGGATTAGAATTTCTGTAAATAACTAGAGGGTTCTCGCAAATGTTCAAATTTTTTAGAAATAAAAATGCGGGGGTTCTTTAGATCGTTATCAGGCGGAAATTAGCTTGAACTAAAGATTCCTTAAATTAAACATAAAAATTAAGTGACTTCGTCACAAATGGTAGATGGGATATGATTAGGTACAACATTTATGAGAATTTTTTTTAATTAAATGAAACTTGCAATAAGAAGAAAACAGGAAAATAGCTTATATGTATTTGTAAAACAATGCGTCTTGAAGACCGTAACACTACAATAAAAATATTTGTTCAAAATGGGATTCGTTATTAATAAAATAGGCTACTACTTATCTGTATTAAGAATATTAGAAATAATCAGATAAACCACTACATTTCAACTAAATATTTATTTTGTTTAAATATAAAACTGCTGTATATTAATTTGGTTTTATTAGTAATTCCTTGTGTGTTTTTTCACATAACCTTTATTCTATTTTTCTTATATTACTTACAGATGTGTGATTTCGGGCCATTTAGAAATATGATTGTACCTCCATGGTGTGTACAAACAGCAAAACGTAAGGGAGCTTTACATAGACAAATTTTGTTAAGAGGTGTTCGTGATCCACTTTGGGAAAGATGGACTCCCTTAGTTGTTGTTGGTAAGAAAAAATTAAAATTTTAACTCATAACTTTTTCTAATTGCCAGTGTTTATTATTGTATTCTGTATCTGTAACGTGTGGAGGGTTGGTTACTCCCCCCCCACGGCACTTAGGCCCATTGTGCATCCTCCTAAGATGTATTATAAACGTATTAAATAATTTAAAATAAAAACAACTAGCTGGATGTCCCATTAGTAAGTAATAATTGTTCAATATATCAATTTGTGTTATAGACACGCAAACAAGTTTCAAATAAAAGTTATATCTATATACATGATAGCAAATGAATAAAAATGGAAAACATTTCAGGAAGTCTTAAAATTGTTTAACGAAGTGAAAGCAATCAAATCTGTTATCCATATTGTTTGGTCTAAAAAAGTATAAGTTTGGTTCACCCTTCATTTTTAGACAACTTTGTATATTTAAGAATAATTGTAAAATATGGTCGTAAAATTTTTGAATTCAAAGTGTCTTTGTATCTTCAATAATAAAACAGCTATCTATTTCTTAAGCACTGTTGAGACACCTTTTATATGTATAATAGGCTAACATGTTGGTATCGTTGGATAGGTAAATTCATAACGAATTTAATGCTAAAATAATATACGGGTAATTCTTAAAAAAGGTAATTTTTTTATAGTGTAATATAATATTTCAAATAATCTTTTAACAAATGAATAGATCTATTCTCGTTTTTTAAAAATATCTTAGCTTGTAATTTATACTTAAAGGCAAAATGTCACCTCCATGAGTTGTAACATCATTGAATTATCTATCTTCAGCATACGGTTTTAGTTTTTTCACATGTATTTACAAACTAACTTTATATGCATTTTCCTAAAATAAAGTAAGCTATATACGAAATAAAAAACTCTCAGTTTCTCCATTAGATTAAAAAAAAAAATCAAGATATATGTTTTCAATAAAAAGAGGATTCTCATCTCCTACATAAACTAAAAAATGGCACATTCTTCTTCATGAGATACCGAGTTGTCCTTAAATCTAAAAACATAATAATTTTTAATTTGTTAGAAAATATAGCTTTCATTAAATTACTTTGAAAGGTAGTCAGAAATCTCACCTGATAATAGTAATTATGGTTTTCCTTTAAATGAATTTCACCATTTTCAATTCTTAAACAGGGAACCATTTTTTTTCTCTATCTACGGCCTCTCTCAATGAAAGATTAGATGTGGCTACTTTTAAAAAACATTTAACCTCGACAAGTTCATCAGAAATAATTAAACCTAAAAAATAGAAAAAGTTATTAAACTATTGTAATAATACGTAAATAATTATCGCTTACCATCAGGTGATGCACCTAGGAACCCATATTGCACATCAACAAATAACCCTGATGGTATAACTGTTTTGCCAGTTCGTTCTTGAAATTTGTTTATAGCCACACCTTCGTTTTGTATGCCGTACTCAATTGCTGGGGTAGTTATTCCTTGTTTGTCTGTCAATTTTTTTTTTTACCAAACAATCGCATGGAGTACGCGCCCTTCTTTTGGCAACTTCCCCAAAATGAGAAGCCGTTAGCCGAAATCTTCTTTTCTCCAAGTATCTTGGGTTGCTGAACTGTCCTATAGTTTCTTCTGATATTTGTTGTTGTTGCTTACTCGTCACCTAAAAATATTTAAATATAAAATATTTAAAAAGTAAAAACGTAATAATCATGTTAATACCTTTAGCCGGTCAATTAATTTATTAACTTCTTCTTTAAGACATTCATCACTGATGTCTACCTCAGCAATATTAGATCCGTACTCCGTTGTTTCTGATGGTTTTGGTTTTTTTATAGCCCTTACTTTTTCTAACAGTAGGTTTTCTTTTAATTTTGTCACGCTCCTCATTATTTACCCATTTTCTTAGAAAATGGGGTGCTTCTCTATTAAAGCTTTGCTTCCAAATTTTGATGTGCCAATTAACTCTATTATTGTAACGAAGTGCGCTCAAAACACACCTACTTTGGAAACAGTTCATTTGAATGAGATTTAATCGTTTTCCCATATTGAAACGAGCAATAATATTCATAAATGATTCTGCTTTGTTGGTTGTTTCGTTGACTAAAAGAAGGTGTGCTTTTGTTAAAAGTAAATTTAATGCTGCGTATACATGGTGGTGAGCTCCTGATGATGTGAATTCAAAATGTTTGTTAATATCGTTGTTAACATCGCAAATTTCTCTTCGGCAGTTAACATGATTACCAAAAATATGTGTTACACTATTTCTAAATCTTGTTTAAGTTGTGGAACGCTTCCATCTTTATTAGTGTAAACCGCGAATTGTGCTGCCTTCACCAATTTTTGTATGATATCACCTGTTTACTATTTCCTTGCCTTTAAAGAAACGGTTCTAGTGTTCTTCTTTATGTTGTAAAGATGTTTGCTATAATTTTTAATGCAATGATTTGTGCATTCCGACTTTGTTACCTGAAATTAAAAATACAATAACGTAAACCGTCACCTCCGTTCAAATGGCATTTCTTAAAAAAAAAAAAAAAAATAAAAATGGAAATAACATACCTCGTGTGTGACCACTTATAATACTTTGTTTGATATCGCAATATAAACACAATAAGGGTACATTCTTAATAAATGAAATATTTTTTCTTTTTTTTTTTTAATTAGGAAAATCCACCTTTTCATAAGAATAACCCATAAACAGTATTGCATTTGAAAAACTTGAGTAAATTGAATTTGAAATAAGCCATATTTATTATGTTTCAAAACATTTTGTATAAAATAAACCAGTTCTATCATCACTATTCGTTAGGTTTGTATTTTATAAGCCTGTATTATAATTTTAAAATCATTTCGAACCTACCTAAATTATATTATAATTTTATTTGGATTCTGCTATATTCAAAATTAATGGCATTTAATTATTTTCCAGGCAAAAGCGTAACATCCTGTATATTCAAAAATATTTTTAAAATATGCCATATAATTTTTGTTTAAAACTTGTTTGTATAACACAAATTGATTTATTAGACAATTATGCACTCCGCAAGAAGAAAAATAAGTCACTTTTTAAAATGTGTATATTTTTTAATGGATTAACTTACAAATGGTTTTTTTATTGAATAATTGGTCTTTTCTATTTATCCAGGTTTATTAAGTGGTATGTTTATAATTAGATACAAATAAAATTTAACAAAAGAAAGAAGTGGTTCCTTTTTCGTTCTGAGTAGTTTAGATACACATTTGGTTAAATAGACGAATTCATAGGTTCTTTAAAAAATAAATTATCAGGTCCGATTTTCGAGATATTTGGCCAAAATCGAAATTGACGATTTTCGTTTTATTTAAAGCTAGAAAAATACTTTACCATGCTTTTTTGTCAAATATCGCTTAACATACCTAGCGAAACCAAATTTTTAAAACAACGTTTCGTCCTCAAAGGGCATCCCTTAGCAATTTTTGTTTAAATACGGACCTGTACCATTTATTAAAAATAAATATGATTTTACAATGAACTGTAATTTAGGTCCATTTTCACAATGCCTTGAGTTCGCGAATTTTTAAGTAATACACTACTCTCCAAAATTAACGCACCACCTTAAATGTACCATACGTTTGAAGCTATTTTTCTTCTGAACTGTTGATTGGATTTCAATGATTTTTTTCGCGTTATAGGTCTATTTCAAAGGAATTACTGTACCAATGTTTTCTGGAATGACAACGCTTTACCGATATACAGGCTGTAAAGATAAATTTGTGGTTTTTCATCTTATTTTGCAACACCCTGTGGAATTTATTAAAAACAAACGCTACATTTTATTAATATTGCGAGATAGCTTCATCTTTTCTCAACATTTTCGTAAAAAAATCATCTTGATGTCTCTATTATCAAAGATTGTACACAACTTAAAATGTAACAAGTTTTTATGAACATTTAAAGCAAATGAAAGCAAAGAAAACACTACTTACATAAAACCTCTTTTATTACAGGATCTTTTATTAAAAGTAGCCTGTATTTGAATGCTTTGATAACTCTCTATTGAACTAACTAGTATGACATTAATTATATTTTGAGACCTTTGTTGATACAAACTTGTGAATTATCTCAGGTTTTTTATTTTTGTTTGTTTCAAATTTTTACGAAATATAATTTAACTTTTACTCTATACGCTTTTTTGTTATTTTAGCAAACAAAAAGTCTGGCAATGGCGATGGCGCTTTAGTGTTATCAGAATTTCGAAAGTACCTCAATCCAGTTCAAGTTATTGATCTTAGCGAACGTAAACCTCCATCCGCTTTACAATGGTGTGTCCTATTGTCTCCAAAACCCGTTAATATATTAGTTGCTGGAGGAGATGGTACTATTGCCTGGATGTTAACAACCTCTCATAAACTAGATCTTGATGTAAGTAAACAAACAATAAAAAATACATATTTCGTGAACATTCCCGACTTGAATTCATATTGATTAATTGATACACATAGGCCTTTTCATCATGTGGTGAACGCAAGCGCAACCGCCATGTTGAAATAGCGCCAATTCAAAAGTTTCGTACTGTTTTGATTAACAATGGCTGAAAAAGCAATATTATCTCTACATACAAATCAATCATTAGGTATTAAAAGTATTTCTAAAATTTAATTTGCGTATTAAAATAATCACATTGGGAGCCATCAGTCAAATTAACGAAAATTATCTATATACACTTTCTACCAATAAACTTTTCCTCGACCGATTCGTATTATTTACTGGATACATTGAGATATAATAAAGATGAGATGCTATAGAAGTGTCCGAACCTTTGCATTACACTTTTACGTCATTGGTCAAACTCAAGCTAGTCAGTTTTGGTGAGAATAAATGCAAATGTTTAAAAATAGCTTCATGTATATGATATAAAAACGTTTTCATTTGGCGAGGTCAGTCAATTTAGATTGCGCAACTCATTTACTATAAAAAAGATACTCTTGATAAGACTCGATTACTCTCATGGTTTTGACGAAATTTGCATTTTAGTAATTTTAGAACATAAACAATAATTATTAAAATACAAACTTTGTCAAAACCATGAGAATAAATCGAGTGTTATCAAGGGTACTTTTTTGTAGTAAATGAGTACCCAATCCAAATTTCATACTCAAACTCCTTTTCTTCCATTGGCGTAGAATTTTTAAAGGTGCAATTATTTAAAAAATCAAGTTCTACGCCTATGTATTATCGGACAAAATTTTAATACCATTTTTTTTGCCACATAAAACTCTACCAATATACCAAATTTCAGCAAAATCGCATATGCAGTTTTAAATTTATGTGGGAAAAACGATTTAAAAATTGTAATTTCAAGGCCCTCTGGAGCCCAAACGAAGCAACTTTGTACTAAGGTAATTTTACTTAAATCGACTTATTTTGGTCTAAGGAATATGTGGTATGTTTTTGTAAAGACCTATTACAGACATTATGTCGAGTGAAAAAAAAAAAGAACTGAAGTGTGTTTTTTTGTGACACGGTAAAAACTGATAAATTACTGATATTTTCAGAAGAGACTATGTCAAAATGTCAAAAGATTTTGAGGTTACGAAAATCTCATAAATTGAAATATAAAAATATCAAAGTAGTTGTTACAAGACATTCACAGCATTGAAGAGACATTTTATGTCGACAGATGTTAAAAAAAGTTCCATCACAGCCCAGTACGTCTTCGCCTGCATTTGAACAACCATCTACATCAGCTGATAGCTCAATAATTGATACAATTGTACGTGATTCCCTAAGACAGAAGAAGTAGAAAAAGAAATTGACGCTGAAGCTAAACAGCCTTTGGAGGCAGGACCTTCTGAAGATTTAACAGAATCGACTGTTCATACTTCTAATAATGTAGCTTCAGCAAACTTAAATGTGTTTTTTTGCAACAAAAAAAAAGAAACAATATCTCTCTAAGAATCATCCATTACGCACTTCAGGGAAGGATCAATCTAAAAAGTTTATTAAACTTTAAGCCAGATACTGAAATTTACAGTGAAACTTTGACCAAAATACAAATTGTTCTCTCTTGTGAAGTCTATTATCATGATATTTGCCGGAAAAATTTCAGGAATCAGAAAAGATCACTAGTGAAAAGTTCTGTCCGTACTTCATGGCACATCTCCCGAGAAGTACTCGTACATAAAACTGTTTATAAAGAAATATGTTGTTTAATTGAAGAGAATGTCATAAATCGAGGACGTTATTTTCTGAGTTATTTAAATAAAGAGTATCTCGAAATGTTTAAAGAATTAAGGGAAGGCTCTGACGCAACATCAATATTTTTACCACACACTAGAAGAAAAGATTCAAAAGAAAAATGACAAAACTCCAATTTTGATATCGAACAAAAAAAGTTGTTATTATTTGTTATCTGCAATATACCTTAATATTTGAGATCCTTTTTTATCATCAAACTTATAAATTTTAGTCCATAGTTTACTAAATTAAATATGAATTCCTATAAATAAAGTAATAACGTAAATCATATTGATGTGAAACAAGGAACGTAATACACATACATCTGATCGGATGGTAGCTAAGGTTTTGTTGTTTGCTGAGGTGTGTACTCAATGAAGACGTCTACCGTGACGAATATAAGTTTTTAAGACCCTAACAAAATATATTAATGGCAGATCTGGTCAATTACTTTCAAAATTTTATTATTTTCAGCACTTTCAAAACTGTCTGCCACAATGTTAAACACGCGATAATGGTCTGCCATTGTTGTTTTCTGATAATATATTTTCAAATTTCAAAACGGCAGACGTGGTCAAATGCATTTAAAATTTGCCAACAATCCATACCTGTCTTACCTGAGCGCCCGCCGCGTCCACCACTTTGGGCTTAGTGACTCCCTATCTCAGGTATGGTAGGGATAGGGGCCTCAGTGTACAAAAACTCAGGTCTGGTCAAATACATATAGGTAGCCGTCCACTATTAGCCGACTATTAGCTTTTTGATTTCTATGTTGTAGGTGGTAAATGCCCTGGTGTAGCTCTGCCAAACTCCGCTGTGATTGGCCCTGTTATAGAGTTTCCGTACTTCGAATCTTATGTTCCACCAAGGAATTTTATTTTTATTACATTACATTATATTTTTATGTTTCAGCCAGAACCTCCTTTAGCTATTATCCCATTGGGAACCGGTAACGACTTATCCAGAGTTTTAGGCTGGGGTGCTGAAAATTCTGCTGATGTGGATGTTGAAAGGGTTTTAAAGAATATTTGCGAAGCTAGAACCTCAGAACTTGACAGGTAAGAAATTAGCTTTTATAAAAAAAAAGATTTGATTTATATATTAATCATTTTTTTAGATGGAAAGTAGAAGTGACATCAAATAGACATTTAGGACTCAAGCTTCCAAGTAAAACGTATTTTATGTACAACTATATCAGTATTGGCGTTGACGCGCAAGTGGCTTTGAATTTCCACAAGACTAGAGATAGCATTTTTTACATATACGGAAGTCGAGTAGTGAATAAGGTAACAATATTCTTAAAGTAAAAGTAAGACCATTAAAACTTTTTTAATTCGTAGTTGCTGTATTTATGTTTTGGTACACAACAAGCTATGACATCGGAATGCAAAAATCTGGAAACGCGGTTAGAACTTTATTTAGATGGAAAGGAGATTGAACTACCAGAGTTGGAATCCATTGTTATTTTGAATATCAATTCTTGGGGAGCTGGAGTTAACTTGTGGGGTAAAATACATTTTTTTTTTTTCGTAAAACTATCGGCACTTTATTTTTGATTAATCATTCCGTTTAATTCAAATTGCGTGATAGCTGACAGCTAGTTTTGTTCTGGTTTGATTAAATTCTTTGTTCACTGTGGCATATGTTTTATGACAATGGTGTTTTATTAAGAAATAAATTTCAGGAATGTGCGGAGATGGTGAAGCTTACAGTAATCAATCGTATCATGATGGTATACTCGAAGTGGTTGGCATTTATTCGTCATTTCATATGGCTCAATTGCAAGTAGGCATGTCAACTCCATTAAGGTTGGGACAGGCCAAAGTTGTGGAAGTAATTTTTTTTTTATTTTGGGAAATATTTACTTGACAAGTTTCCTTCGTTCTTTTCCAGCAATTAATTTTGTCTTATTTATTTTTTAGATCGTGCTAAAACAGAAGTCCCCAATGCAAGTTGACGGAGAGCCCTGGGAGCAGCAGCCCGGTAAGTTGACGCTCTCCTTTGTCAACAGGTGTCCCGTACTTATTAACCTGAATAGACCTGAATGATTTTAATTTTTATTATGTAAAACTGTTTTAACGTAGGCATTTGTGTCATTTGATATTTCTAAAAAAATTAAGTATCAAATACCTGTGTGTTTATAAAAAAATCCGGATTTTCCCTTAGATCTACTTAACTACTACCTATCACCGTTTTTATAAGCTTAATAAGTTTGAATTCATTATTCAGTATTTTTAATAGTTAGAATTTTAAAATCTTAATGATTAAACATCCAGTTTTGTGTTTTGGTGTATTATTATTTATTATTTAGATGTATTTAATGAATGATTCCTTATAGCTTTAAATACAATATTTTTTTCTATGGTACAGAGTCTCCTTATGTGAAGTTTAAATTCTGTTTCTAATTCGAAACTAAATAATTGTGCATTTTTTCTTAATAAAGGTAACAATAATTATTTATTATTAGTACAATTGTTTAGATTTACATAATTTATTATAAATATTTGCGATAATGAATATTTCATTCAGTGACTTCATTACCTTATAGTTATTTACATTATAAGACCGTTATACAGGGTGTTATTGAAATACATAACCTAGATTACCTAATCTTTAGAATATGCCGATATGCCTTCTTAGTCATAATCGGACAGCCAGCAAGTACCGCCGCCGTTCGCGTTGGTGCCAAATAGGTATGATTTACAATTTTCGTGTGTGTTTCGATGTTTTTAAATACGATACTATAATTATATTGAATTGATGGATATGGTTCATCACTTCATTACTGTTGTACGTTTGTAGCAACTCGCCAACCTTTAAAGGATGGTGGAAGTTTTATCTATAATGCCAATAATGATAGAACACGTAGCAAACGAACAATAAGCGTTGACATTAGGCCCGAAATAAGTTGCATAAGAATTGTCTAATGAAATTTATTGTTTGTGTACACTTAAAGAAAACGGTTTACATAATTTCCATATCGTCGGTGAAAATGCAAAACCTCGTAAACATATCTTACATAATTTTAGACGAAATAGAAAAAACTTCTCACTTTTCGTTTTTTATTTGTTCCATTTATATTTTTCAAATAGTTGCACTTCGCTAAAATAAGACGAGCGACAATATTGATTAATACGAATAATAAAACAATTTTCGTCAAAAATTGCAAATACGAGGTTTTTCACTTTCACCGACGATATTCAAAAAGTACTGGGTGTTTCATTAAGAGACTACAGGTACAGAAACTACAGGTATGGGGAAACATATTTTTAATAAAACCAGGTAGTGTGACATATTTTATTTATTATTTGACATGTAAATATATTTCTTTAATGTAAATAAAAGTTTTGTAAAGTAAAGTGAGTAATAAAAACGGTCGAGAGAAATTGCTGGAAATTATTTTCAAGTTTGTAGGATGGCCGCTAGGGGGCGTAATGTAAAAATGTAATTTTCTCAAAAAATACCAAGTAAAGTATATTGACAAATATTACTATTTTAATCTTAAATGTGTTCTGAACGAAAAAATCTTTAGGTGTAACTTTTGTCAGTTGTGAAATAGATTGGTGGGGGAAGGTTAAACTTTAATTTGGAACAATGCTCATAACTCCGGTTTGGCTTTACCGAATTTAGTAAACTTGTTTTTGTTTAGAATAGCTTTTTCAGCCTCATTTTTAGCTCTATAAACTGGCATTAATTTACTGTCCAACACTTAATTTTAATCTTCCCGTCCGTCGACAAACTCGCTTAATTTAAATAAAGTCAGCTCTGTACCAGAACTCTCTAGGCTTTCCAGAACGATTGAAAACTGCCTCTCTATGACTCGTACGCCGCAAAGGGATCCATCCGATAGCTTCTCGAAGCGATGCGTTTGTCCCTAGATGGCTAGCGCTAGATTTCATGCTGCGGGCAAGGAGTAAACAAAGTACAGAGACGGCTTCACATCACAATAAATTAAACAAACGTTAAAATACCTTAGCAACTTCACAGAAAGGTTCGAGGCCTGTCATTGCCTTCTCGGGATAGTTCGTTGGCGTTTTCATTGCTCTGATATCCTTCGTGGCCTGGTACCCAGGTTAAGGCTTTGTTTTGACTCCTTAGCTCTGGCAGGTCACTAGTCGTGATTTGATTTCTGGTGAGTGAATTGCCTTTAGAGTTGATTGGCTATCAGAGTAGATGGCAATAGTTTTGCTTGATATTTGCAGATTTATTATTTCTTTTGCACAGTGTTGTATGGCTATTAGCTTGGCATGGAACACTGTTGCATATTCTCCTAGACTCCAAATCGCTGTTTTCGACTTGGATTCAAAGATTCCAGCGCCGGCTCCTTCCATGACTTTTGAATCGTCTGTATATCAGACGAGTTCAACCTGTATGGGAGGTCCTTGTTTCCAGGATTCTCGGGCTGGTATTTGAATTTGAAAATATCTTTCTAATTTCTATGTGGTTATGGTTATATCAGTAGGCATTCCTATAATCTTATCCTTTTTTTACTTGCTGGTATAGCCTTGTATGGTCAACGCTTTATAGTTGGCTTATTGAGGTTTGTCCTTGCATTACCCTGTGAATGTCGGACCTGGTTTCTTTTTGTATGATTATGTGCATGGCCTATGTGACAATTGAATAATTACTGACGTTTTCGTGTTTTTGAATTGCTACAAGTTGTAGTTTTCACAAATGTTCACTATCTTTGGGATTCAAAAAAAAAAAAAATTTCCTACTAACCGTCAGCGTATAGGATTATCCAAACCGCTTCTAATATGGATGCGCACATACTCAGTGTTGTTCCTGGTTGTACAATTGTACAGAAAGTTGTACAATCAGTTATGTGGTTGTACGCACTTTTGAAAAAAGGTAGAAATGTTGTACAATTTGAAGTTGCTAAATATTTATGTAAAATCTGGTATATCGTAAATCGTATGCATTAAAATTAATAAAACAATAACGTTTGAATTTGGCGCCATTCGCGACCAATCGGTACACCGTTTTACATCGAAAACATTTTTTAAACTGGAAAAAGATGAATTTTAAGCATCGGGAAGTATTAAACTAATTAGTGGTTGTACAATCGAACGTAATAGTGTACAATTTTGACATTAAAAGTTGTACAATTCAAAAATCCCTAGGAACAACACTGCACATACTTGATGTTTTACAGTCAGACGTAGTATAATAATCGGAAAAAGGGGAAATTAACCCATTTTTAAATGTCAGAATTTAATACTAAAATTGTTGCTATTCGTCTTTTAATGTACATGTATTTCATATAATAACACCCTGTATAGGATGTAGAGGGCAGACAGATCTTGAACAGTATTTTCGCAATTGTCCCTCTTCATATGCAAGATTTAACAGTTTTGACATGAAGCTAACCGAAGTGAACGTGATAGATTGGCGTACCATGTAAGTTTTCTTTATACATAAAATGCCGGTGTGCATGTGTTCGTAATACTTCTCTTCCTAAACGGCTTTAGATTTTGATGATTTTTTTTTGTACTTATGGGGTCATCTGGATGGTTCTTAGCTATATTTGGACCCGATAGGTGGCGCTGTTGTCGATATCTGAAATTTATTATTTTTTTTATTTTCCGACCAATTTTTTTATTTTTTTTGTGATTTTTTTTTAAATTTCTCATAAAATGAACATCTAATCCCGAATGTTCAGCCTTAGGCAGACCAGTTTATGTTGATGTTGTTCCCTCGTTTGAATCTTGTAGTTTTTTTATTTAATTTTGGTTTCATCTTGCTCCTTGTCCTTTGACATTATCCAGAACAGTCCACGTTAAACCTCCTCAACTTCTGATGAATTTGGGAGTGTCGGTAGTGCTGTATGAGATTTTGTCTGGTTCGACGTTTACTACCATTCCAAAGTACTGTTCAGGTTCTATCTACGCTCTAACATGCGAGCATGAAGATTATACGTATGAGCTTTTAAACCCTATACCGGTTGAAAAACGTATTAGGTTTTATGTTAGTTTTTTAAATCCGATAATTAAAATCTGCTAGTAAAATATCATTATTGCAAAGCTCTTTGTCAAAATTTTGTAAGTAGACTAATTATATGTCAATTACTACGTTGGTTATTTATATAAATACGTTCGGGAGACGTTAAAATACGTTACATTTTTGCTAATATAGGGTGATCACTGTTAATACAATAGTTGGGATTTAGGAAAACCTAAACAATCTTATTGGTAGAATATATAGATTGTTTCATTAATACAGTAACTGGAAAACCCTTGGCTCAATGTGTAGATACCTTAAAATACTTATATGCCTCCTTAATTACCTAAAATTGTATTATTTCATACAAAAATGATTTTGTCACAAAGTAATCGAAATCGTTGAAATTGTGATTGAAATAATTGCTGTACTTTCATTTTAAGCCTTTGAACTATTTATAGAATAATTTAACAGCATTGTACGTCATTAACATTTACTTTACACTGAGTTTAGTAAGAATATCTTGAAAATATATCTCGTATTTTACAACTAGACCTACACTTTAACAGATTAAAATAATTTATCCTGTGTTACCGTTTATTGATTATGAGTTGAAAATTGAATCTGAAAATAGCTGGTTGCTTTTTAACGGTCCACGTAGACCTCCATTCTGTACTTGTCAAAAGAAAACTGTTTTTCCTATAAAGAATATGTCATGTGCATTAGGAGACTCTGTAGGGTATTTTGTTACAATGCTAAAAGTCTTCTCTAACAGAAAATTAATCTTCCACTAGGTATCGAATTTATTGTTTATTTTTAAATTGGCAATTTTGCACTAAAAACGAGCGAAAGCTTTATATTGTGAAACATTCCAGTTATGTAGTTTTTGAAATTTGTTATTTTTGTATGTTACAAATATATATTTAAACAAAGTTTATTCCCTTTACATCTTTGAATTTTTCGAGGCTTGTTATAAACTCTTCATCGTTTATATGTGTATTTATAAAATATCGATGTATAATAAAAAAAAATTGTCAACTATTTTGTTTTTTTTTTCTTATTTAAAAAGTTCCTTATAACACTGGCTCGTGCCTTCACACATATGGTGCCAGGAGGAGCGGATGCAGACCAAATACCGACGTTGCTAAGTTTTAAAAGGCAGAAGGCGCGGCGGCAAATTTAAAATAAATTGATTTCTAAGACCAAATTAGTTTAGAAACAAACAAGTTTGAAAGAACAGTTATTTTTTTTCTACAAGTTATTGAGATTAGTTGATATAATGTAAATACTTTTTATTTTCACTTATGTTCAAATAAAGCAATATACCTAATAGCAATATATGAGACAGGTAGTGTTTTTCCTATGTTTTTAAGTGCAACGTCTCTAAAATCTAAAGACGTCTATATTCATTAAATGTTCATAATCTGATTTGGAGCTGTACAAGTAATCTGAAACTAGAGTCAATTATGGCCCGTTAATAAATGAAGTCAGGTAGCCAGTTTGATAACTGAAATTACGCAAACAGATTGGGCTAGTAATTAAAACAGTTAAATTTTATTCTTTGGTGTTTATTGTATAATTAATACATCTTTGTAAACTCAGTTTATGCAATTACCTATATACAAAATCAGAAATAACTAGACATATAGGCAAATAAATATACTCGTAAAAATAGTATCATTTTTTTTATTCACACTCAAATTAGCCAATAAATCACCTTTTGGAACATTTTAAAACAAACAATATCCATTGCATAATCTATTTACCATCATTATCCATAAAAAAAGTTGAGATAGTAAATAAAAATGTTTTTTCCACACCTACATGGATATTAGCTTATCTACGCACAGGCTATAAAACGAAAAAGTATACTATTGTCATTAACTGAACGAATATATTTTATATCCATTCTATGTAGTGAGAACACTGCAAAAAAATGAAATCCACCAATCATAGTTCATATTTTGGTCACCCGACGACTATTAGGCATGGGTTTTGACAGGTTTTAGATATGGCAAAATTATGGCAACCCTGTGGGCCTGGTGAATTGACAAGGTCAATGAAATAGATAGTTACATAGATTGATCATCCATATTTTTCAAAATAAACATAAGCTTATGCCTTGAAGTAAAAATGTAAGCAATTTTTATTTTTCAAATATCTAAAGGCTGAAAATTGGTTTTAAAACACATTTTTGCTAAACCGATTCAAATTAATAAATATGTGCCAGGCAATATTGCCGCTCGCAAACGACCAGCTTTGAGCAATCTATATAACTATATATGTATCATTGACCCTGTTAATGCAAAATGACAACAGGGTTGCCATATCTAAACTGTCAGTCCCCATTAGTAGCTATTTGGACAGGTCGTTGGAATGCCTAATTAGGCATTCCAAACAAATGAATTACCAGTGGGCAGGTTTGGTATATCTAAGGGTGGCGACATATGGTGTATTCTATCTACTTTAAGTAAAATCATGAATAATGGATTACATTTAAATATTTTATGTCAAACACAATAAAAATAATATTTAAAAAAACCTACCTATACATTTCTTCATAAATTGGCAGGCTTGGCGAGTACTACTTCGAATAAAAATAGCGTCCAAGTTGCAAGACTATGTCGCTACCCCCTTAAATATACAAGAATTTCCCACTGGCACCTATTGTTTGACAGGTCGTTGGAATGCCTAATTATTTTTAACATTTTAATTAAGTGACAATTCTGTCAAACTAATTGTCAGTATATTTTTTAGTTATTGAACTTAAATATACATTTATTACTTAATTTTGTGTAGAAACGATAAATAATAGCATTTCTATTTTTATTTATACCATAATTATAAATAATTTGTTAATTTTAATAAAACTATGAAGTCAATTCAATTACGAGTATTAAAAAAAAAAACCGAAATCTGCCGGCGCGGTGGATGCTTCGAGTAATATAAGCTCGAAGGGTGGATAGATGGTGAGAGTATCTGCCTTCCACACGAGAAACCTAAGTTCGAGCCTCGGCTGGGGACTTTTAAATTAAATCTTTTTTTTTGTTAATTTTATTTTAAAAATTATTAAAATTCATACATTATTTATTTTGTCTCTAACCTACAATATATTTTTTTTATTTGTAAATTTTCGTTAGTCGATCGTACAAAAAAAATATACACTACAATTCGAGTGGATTGTCCGCATCGCACTCAGACGATTGAGGACTCCTCCTACGGCGTCGTGCTCAAATTTCGTCCTCTTGCGATATGGCCATCACATCCACTCTTGTTGCACAAACTACTATTGGAATTACAAGTTTTAGAATCAGCACATTATATCTAAAATCAGTTCTTGGATTTCCAGCACCAACAATTTGGTTTTATTTTTTTGGCCCATGTAATATATATTATATTAATTAAGACGATAGCGTAGGTGTCCTCACTTTGTTTTCATGAAATGTATAGCTGGTTATTATTATAGGTATGTGGTAGTATTTTTATTCTCGTTCTTTTCACTTTTCATTTCGTTTGTTACATAGAGTATGATTAGTAGACATTCATTCATTTGCGGTACTTCACCTTCTACCGACCTCTGGTGGATTTTTTAGCACTATGCACTGTTTGGTGCCATATTTTGAAACACCTGTAAAATGTATGTCACTCATCGTAAGTTGGGTCAAACATGCGATGAATTAAAAACGTCTTGACGCAATCCCGATTCTATCGGTAGATTCATCGATGAGATTAAAAACTTGCCCCAAGTATAGTTCAATTCAAAGATTGTTTTCCCAGAGTCACGATAAGACGTTTCAGTACCACAGTTACAACTTGCACTTTGATCTTTAGCCTCGCCGAAATTGTGAAATTCGGAATCATATTTTTGAATTCTACTTCCGAAATAAGTCTTTTCTCTTAAAAGAAATAGCGTAAAATTAAGAATTTACTATAGATAGGTATACCAAAAAAAAATATATCAATTTATAAACATTTTATTGCTAAAATTTAAACAAATCTACCTCTGTAACTTCTACATAATGCTTTCAACAATATATGTGCTATATAACTAGCTCACTCTAAACTGGTATAAAAAATAAAAGAAACAAAAAATAAAAGAAACAAAAAATAACTGGGTTCAAAAAATTAAAATATTTACGAAGATTTTTAACAACATAATTATTCTAAATTTTGTTACAATAAATATAAAAGACAACAACTATTTCATTAAAACATTTCATATTATATTTTTATAACAAACCTATCGAGGTATATTTTCACAGTCTTTACAATTAGGGGCCTGTTTTTTCATTTATAATCGTTATATGTTAATAAAAGTTGATCAATTAATCTTTCTATAATTATTATAATAGAAATTTTGGGCCCTTAAATGTTGCAGTAGTTAACAATATTTGGTAAAATCAAAACACTGACATTTGGTGGCTTTCACTCTATGTTTAGACATAATTTTTTGAACTATAAAGTTACTATTTTAATAATAAAATATTCTTCCATTTGTAAACATTTAGAATAAGAATACATAAACTAAAGTGTATGTAAATAAAATCAAATTTTTTCATTTTCTTCCTAAGAAAAGATTAAAGAATGATTAGCCATCTTGAATTGCTTCAATATTATCACACATATATCACAAAAGACATACATCGTATTAAGTATAATATATACAATATTTGCCATTTTATTGAATTGCTGTGCAATAATCGCCGTTTTGTCAGCTTACAACTTCTTTTAATCTTAAGTCAAACAGATAAAGAAAAGATCCGTCAATGCTTTAATCAATTTACAACTACTTTTTACTTGTTCTTGATAATTATTGTTTATCATATCCAACATTGATCCTTAATTGTTCTAGAAATAGGAACGTTAATATAGTATGAGGGGCTAATCTTACAAATGCTGGAATGAATCCTTTAAAGAATCCTAGAGGTCCAAGCTTTGCTGTATACATGACTACTTCTCCCAAATTTTTAAATTCGCCTGGTTTTGCGTTCATCGATCTTGTCTTTAAAACATCTAGTGGTTGAGTTAAAAGTGTCGCTGCTGTTCCCTAGAATTTTTAAATTATGAATAGTTTTTTTAAAAGATAAATAATTATTCGCTCTTTATTTGCTTTGTACTAATGTCAATAAAAACAAACAAAAATCTTGTAATTAGAAAATATTGTTTATTAAAAAAAATGGTTTGACCTACCGCAATGAGACTTGATAAGAAATGAGTGCCCAAATTATCATTGAAGATCTCAGTCTTTAATAGCATGATTTTAGCTTGGTCATAAAATGCCACTTGACCTATGGTCATAAAAATAGCTCTTCCAGTTGCCGTACTTGCACCAGAAAACAAATTTGCTACCCCTCCTTCTTTATAAACCCGAAACAGGCCATCTATTGCGTGTTTGTAACTAAAAATAAATAGATTTTTTTTTAAATAGAGACAGATAATTACAATAAAATTAGATCATAGACATAGCTTATCAGTACTTGGATTAAGTCATACGCTATGTCAATGAACAGAACTATCGAGGATATGAAAGGGAAACGAAAAACAGTGGTGTAACTTCAAATTTTGGCCCACTGCAAATAAATTTTGCTCCCTCCCTGTAAATTAATTTTGGGGCCTCAACTCCACGCCTAACCCCCATCAAATAATAATTTCAAATTCTGTACACCAGTCCTCATATATAATAATAGTAGGTACTAATAATTACGGTTAGGTATATTCAAATATATTTTTCTGTAGTCTTTATTACAAGTACCCCAACAAACAAAAACACAAACATTGAAAGAAAGAAAAACAGTCACAAGTAAAAATAATAAAACAAAAAATGAGCAAGAAAGATTTATATTATTTATTTATTTTAATTGCAAAGCGCTTTCGGCATAACGCCATCATCAGTGCTCATCTACAAAAATTGTGGGTGCGAATATAAAAATATTTATATGTCGTAAGCTCATAGTGAAATCCGTCTTTTCAAGAAGATCCTAGTCATATCACGAAGTGTCGGCGTATTGTGAAAATCATGAAGCTACACAATCTGCCAAGGCTATTCATGAAGAGCCCGTAGCATTTCGGCAAGTTGTCTGCCTTAATTAAAATAATGCGGTTTCATGAAATGTCCACCAAGGCAAGGCATATTATGTTTAAATGACTCTTCAGCGCTTGTTACCGAGATATTGGATTATATATAGGGCAAGTTAGTATTAAACATAGATACAAAAAAATGGTGCAACCTGAATCAAATCTTCCACACCACCCTAACGTTTTATCGTATAACATTATTTATATCGCTAAAATATTAAAACCTATTTTAGAGCATTTTTGATTGTCCATTAAATTTGACAGCAATAATCCCTAACCGTTCCGGAGTTATAGTGGACACATAGACATTTTTTTTGTCAAAACTTATTTTTGGTCATTTTAGATCTAGTCTGACAGTTTTAGGCCAAAAAACTATTTTTTGCTTGTACAATATTTACCTTGTGTGATGTGGAAATAATAGAATAAACAAGAACTATTGAATGACATTATATTAGGAATCTCACTCAGGAATCAGCTTCAAAAAACCCAGGTAAATTAAACATGTTACACAATCTGACGACTATAAATCATTACTTCAGAAAGTGCCGATATTTAAATTTAGTTAGATTATGCTACATTATACGCCAAAAGAATGTGGCCTCTTCACGAAAAGCCTCGGCAGATTGTGTAGCTTCATGATTTTACACATGCCGACGCCTCATGACGTGACTAGGATTTTCATGAAAAGACGCTTTTCACTACAGGACTACGACATATATATGTTTAAAACTCAATTTAATTAATTTTCCTGTTTTTTCCATCTTTCTTTGGGCGGTTAAAGTGACAGCAGTGACAGGTGATACCTCAACAGGAATTCTTATGTGCGAACTCAACACGTAACGAATCAAATAGAGAGAGACATTACATAAGAATCGCATTCTGTGGAACGAAGATAGTCGTCTCAATACGTGTTGTATTGACAGATGAGAATCCCAATGCAGGAGTGCGTTTAGAAACCCCGCACGGCGCGTCTGGACCCTATTTTAATGCATGTGGTCAGACGCGGCGTGCGGGGTTTCTAAACGCATTCCTGGGTAGCTATTCACTAAGTCATGGGAGCGCTCCCATGGGAGTGTTCCCATATATTTTGCTCTCTTACTCTTAGGTGGGTATATCGTGCTTACTCCGACCTAACTATGCATGTACCTGGGCTAAAAGTGAGTAAGCACGATATACCCACCTAAGAGTAAGAGAGCAAAATATATGAGAACACTCCCATGGGAGCGCTCCCATGACTTAGTGAATAGCACGAATAGCTATCCTGTTGGCGCTGATATGACAAATGTCAAACGAGAGAGGTGCGTTCTCTCGCCGGTATGAGTAAAGTTACTCCAGGTGTAATTCGGGCGAGAGTGGTTGATACTGTTGAAATTTTGTATAAATATGTAAAAGTTAATTCTCCCATCGGCGACTAGTGCTGAATAGATTCCGTTGTGTCATCGTTGGTTCTAGGGAAGAAACAAAAACGGAACCGCGGGAGCCCCGCTCGAGATGTAGTTGCTCAGGCCTAGTTGCGATTGGAGGAGGAAGTTATATTTAAAGATTGATCAAATTTGAAAATTATTTAGTGAAAACTAATTTAAAAAATCAATTATATTCATCACATATTCACCTTTTTTAATTGTAACTTGTCTTTTTAACTGTTAACAAAATCCAATTGGGACAATGATTGGGGTCTAACCCCTTATCTCTGCACAAGCACATGCCTTTTGAGGTTCTTTTTCAACGATTAAGGGTTTATGTCCTAATTATTGCCTCCAACACTGGGTTTCTCTATAATTTGTAATTTTTTTATATCGTCAACTGTATATATATATTTTTTTCTTGTTTATATATACATACATGTTTTTATATTTACACCCACAATTTTTGTAGATGAGCACTGGTGATGGCATTATGCCGAAAGCGCTTTGAAATTAAAGTAAATAAATAAGTTTGCACTAAAAACTATTTTTTTTTGCTAAAATATTAACCATTAATTTGCCTTTTAAAAATAGAAACTAAAAGGACAATCAACAAATCAAGTAATAGGAATCTCAATTATATAGAAGAAACGTAAGAAGACCCCAAACACGGAGGGTAGATGATTTAAAAGAGACAGAGGGGAGTCAATCAAGAGGTACAGGATATGCTTAAATGAAAATGAAGACCAGCAGAGTGATCTGTAAAAAGCTGTTAAATAAAAAGATGTACTAGAGGAATTCTAAAAATAATTGATTTTTATTTTATTTTTTCTGCAGAAAGCCTTTTCTTTTTCTTCCCGACCATTTTTAAACTAGGAAATCTAATTAAAAATACATATAAAACAAGCAAAAAACACACACATCTCCAAACCTCTAACCTAATAACATATCACCAAAACAACAAACACCAAAACAGTTAAAATCATGAATTTTATATCAATTATATCATTCTTAACAATTCCTGTAATACTGTAAACATATCCTACATATTTCTAATTTTTAAATCGTCAGTTTGTAATTATAATTATTATTTATAGGAAAATCTAGTAATTCCACAAAAATTATAAATTCACTTTCATAAAATAATTAAATTAAGGGCCGATCTTTTCACTTTTGAGTAATTTACATGTAGGTTTACTTGACAGATTAACAAACAAAAGCCCTATAGTATAATTAGCAGGTAGTTGTTACTAGCCCTTAATATTTAAAATATAAAGTATAAACATTCTACTAAGACAGGTGAATGGATTGAATACAACTTCATAATATTAACTTCTCAAATAATTATGAAAGGCATGTAATTTTAGATTTAAGAAGGTAATTTAAAGTGGCAGAAGATAGAGATAGAAGTTGACAGAAAACCAACAAACAAAGTTTTTCTGATTCCAAACCTGCTCGTATTAGTTATTAAAGAAACAATTCTTTTATTTTATACAGTACAATTAATTTTGGAGTGTGACTAGTCTAGAGTAAGGACAGCGGTCCGAAAGTCTGGCTACTTGACCTCTCCAGTATTTACGAGGTCAGTAAAGTTTTTGTGCAGATTTGTGAGCTCTACGTAAATATCTTTAAATTATTTTAACATGTTGTTTGGGTTTTGTTTTGAGACAAATCATTTATTTTCCTCTGAATGCCAATTTTTTATTTTTTTTGTCCCAAGTTGTATCTATCTTATACTTATCATTTATTTATCAATATTCATTTATTGCAGTATTTATTCTTTAAATATAAATTGATTATTAATTCTTGAGACTATTAGTCATTTTGTATTCAGCTTAAATATACATATGGTATTGTTTTAATACTTATTATTATTATTATTATTCTCTCCTCTCCTTTCCAAACTCAGTTACGAAATGTCCCGAGCATTTCTAAAGCCTCGGCGTTTCTACCCCTAAGGACTAGATAATTTAACCAGTTGCCAAACCCGCTTGACTGTGCTATTAAGGGATTGTTTGAGTTAAAATTAAATTTCATCACATTTACTATACTTTCTTAACATAAGTTAAACATTTTCAACCATCAACTTTCAAATACAAAATTATTGACTTCAAATCATTCAAATTACGATTCTATCCAAGTTGCCATTTTGATTACACTTTTCCGTGACTCTTGGTGCGTCATATTACAAATTAGTGTTATGGCGTCTCTATTTTATTTTATCTCCATGATAAAATGCATGCTTGCTCCTCAGATAAACAAACTCGCATAAACCATCCTCACATAAATTAGCAGCGCTCTCCTGCTTTCTAATGCGGCAGCCGATGTGACAGCTCTGACTGCGCAATATGATGAATGAACGTATTAGTCTAGTAATTTTCATTGTTGTCAGAACTTTTCCCCTAAACTGTGCAAGTCCCTACGTCGATATATCTATTTTGGGCTTTGTGCATTGTTACAAATAGAACCCCTATTCATTATACGGTGTAAGCTCAGACCTAGATATATCATTTGGTTGTCAATATGCCAAAATGGAAATGTATGCAAAATAGAAAAATTTGAACAATAAATGGTGTAGCGAAATTAAGAAAAATTAAACATACTTTCTTCTTTTCTCTGGCGGAAGTTTAATATCATTTTGCATCCTAACGTTAACCATATCAGCAGGAGTTCCCACAATGCCACCGCATGCTCCTGCAAAACCGGCAATTCCAACTTTAGCCATAAAAGTATCGCTGCTGATATTCTGTTTGGCTACTTCATATATTCCAAATCTGACTAGCGAATAGGTCAATTGTCGGGCTAATGAAGCTGATAGGCCGGCATATAATGCTAGTACACCTGCAATAAAAGTACAGTGTTTTTTTTATTGATGCTATATAGTAAATTATTGAAAAATTTCCCAGTAGAAACTGCAAATTTCATGAAAAAAAAAAAAAAAAAAAAAAATTAACTGCTTCAAATAATAAATTATCTATTATAAATAATCTACCAAATAAGTTAACGAAAGTTTGTATTCAAAAATACTTTTGTTCCTCAGAAATATTAAATGTTTCCCAAAATGTAAACACTGTACAGAGTATTTAACAATACCTGTATCGCACGTGATATACTAACACGAGAAAATTCATGGAAATGGTCTTTGCTCAGCTATGTTATGTTATGTTGAGAATGGGGTGTTAATACACTGCGACCTAAAAGATTTATTGTGCCCACTTCGCCAATGCACTAAGGAAATGTCTCAATGCCTATAACGACCCTTTCAATCCTATTTTCTCAAGGAAGTATAGGATTTGAAGTGGCTTCAAGTTAGGTAAATCTCCCACTTCTATTTGATTTCCTCCTAGATATAGTGCCCTTGGATTCTGGAGTGCTACACATTCAGGATGTGAATGGAGGTTTCGTCTTCCTCCTCACAGAATCTACACTCACTATCCTCTACTACTCTCAGTTTCCTTAGGTGTCCTTTTAGTCGGCAATGCCCGGTAAGGATCCCTGTTATAATACGTAGCCTGTTCTTGCTCAGGCAGATGCAGGCTTCCGATTTTTTCTGTTTATATTCACCCAAAAGTATCTTGGCCTGTCTCAGCCCCAAGAGATTGTTCCACTTATCGGTTCTTCTACTGCCCAATGCTCAGCTAGCAACCACACGTCATTATGACGTCATTTCTTGGTCACACTTGGCGTGCGACGTAACATGATAATATGGAAATAACTTCCCAGAGACGTCACTCTGGAGACGATGGTGACGTCTAAGCAAGCGCAGATCTTTTAAGTTTAGTTCTAGAACCGACATTATCAAAGATAGCGTCTGTCCTTAGTGGCGATTTATTAGCTTTTGGGTACGCTCGCCAACATTCATATTAGTTCGAAGTTTTCTAATATTAAATATTTAATATCATCATCTAAAAGGCAAGAACCACAAAACTCAAAGAGGACTGGGATACTTACAAATCTCACCTCAGAGTATACAAAAAATCGTCAGACAAAAACAGAGAGATGCATGGAGATCCTACTGCGAAGAAATCGAAAAATTTCCCGCAGGCAGCGAGGCTTCAAAAAGCTCTCTCAAAAGATCCACACAGAAGCATTGGTGCGCTAAACAAAGATGATGGCACAAAAACTACCAACCTCGAAAATAGCATCAAACTTTTGCTATCAACACACTTCTCTCACTTGGTCATCACAGACATGGCGGACTGGGCAGAGGAAGAATACAATCCATCTGCTTATGATTAGCAAACTGCCAAACACATTGTAGACGATGAAAAAATTAGATGGGCAATATCCAGCTTCTCTCCATTTAAATCGCCAGGACCTGACGGTATCTATCCAGCACTACTTCAGTGAGGTCTGGAAGAACTCAAATCGCACCTGGTGGGTTATATTCAGATCCTCGTTGGCTCTGAGGTATATCCCCCAAAAATGGAGAGAGGTAAAAGTGTTATTTATACCCAAACCCGGAAGGATGGATTACACTGTCCCAAAAACATACCGACCAATTAGTCTTACATCGTTTTCCATGAAGACATTGGAAAGGCTATGCGAAAGGTACATAAGGGATGCGGTGATTACAACAATACCACTACACCCAAACCAACATGCATACATCCCAGGCAGATCTACTGATTCAGCCCTTCATCTAGTTGCTGGCCGGATAGAAAGATCCCTGGACAATAAGGATGAGTCCGCCTTGGGTGTTTTCATAGAAATAAAAGGTGCTTGTGATAAAACCACCTTCCCAAAGATAATACACTTACTAACCAACAGGAATGTTCCACAAATGGTTAGTGGGTGGATACCTAACATGATCTCAAAGCGAGCAGTAAACATAAGTGTAGAAGATGTGAATATAAGAGGCTTGGTTGCGAGTGGATGTCCACAGGGAGGGGTGCTATCATCTCTACTGTGGAATATGGTGCTCGACACCCTCATCAGCCGCCTCAATAATGACAGTCACTACACAATAACATATACAGATGACCTAGTCATTCTGCAAACAGGGAATTTCGAGAACATACTGCGAAAGAATGCAAGTAGCTCAAAAAATTATAGGACAGTGATTCAAGGACCATTCAAGAAGACAGAAATGGTTCTTTTCACAAGGAAAAGGATGAAAATGGAATTAAAACCTCCAGAACTCCTAAACACAAAACTAAAATTTGCAACAGAGGTGAAGTACCTAGGTCTCACCTTTGACAGCAACATGGAACTCGCATTTGGAAAACAGAGTTGAAAGAGCATACATTGCTTATGAACAATGCCGCCGAACCGTGGAGCGCACCTGGGGTTTCTCCCCCAGAGTCGTCGCATGGACTTACACGGCCATCATAAGACCTATGCTAATATACGGTGCAGTTGTCTGGGTACCGAAAATCCAAAAATTAACAGCTATCCGTTAACTAGGACAAATTCAAAGAACAGCATGTCTCAACATAACAGGAGCCATGAAAACAACACCAACCAGAGCGATGGAAGTCATTCTTAGTCTCACTCCCCTTGATATTTACATCAAGGAGGTTGCTCTGACGACAATGCCACGCCTCCGCACAGTTGTAATAAAACCTGATGTAGAATCTGGTGAGGCGAGACGTCACTTTTGGCAAGAGGCGCTCGATACGCTCCCACTGCTTCAAGCGAATATGGACTCCATCTCACCGAGATATATCTTCCATAAGCCATATAAAGTTATAATAGAACAAACAGAAGAGCCGGAAGTGGCAGGTACGATTCATATCTACACCGACGGTTCTAAAACAAAACAAGGCTCAGGATGTGGAATACACTCCAGATTCTTAAACCTAAACATAAAATGGGCTGTGAGCAATAGTGCCAGTGTAGTTCAAACAAAGCTAAGGGAGATTCTCATAGCAGCAAAAGAAATAACCAGAAACAATATCATCTATACAGATAGCAGACAAGCACTACTCACCCTGAACAGACCACAAATTTATTCAGGGTTAGTACTAGAATGTCACGAAGCTTTGGCCGAAGTATCCTTCAACAATGTGGCCATCTTAAGATGGATTAAAGGTCACGCCACATCGAAATGTAACCGTCTTGCTGATTTACTACCCAAGAAAGCAGCCAACCAAATACTTTTTGGACCTGGCCCTTCTATTGTCCTGACAAAATCGGTAGCGACAGACCTAATCAAAGAACATTCCCTTGTAAAATTCAAGGAAAGATGGGATGAAACAAGAAACTGCAGAGTTGCCAGGGAGCTCTCAAGTTATCCTGACAACACTGCAGCAAACAAATACTTGACTATGACTAGATAAAATCTGCGCCTAGTCACAGGCATTCTGACTGGTCATTGCCAAGTACGAAAGCATCTCCATATCATGGGGCTGTCAGAATCCGCACTCTGCAGAGGGTGCGAACAAGAAGATGAGACCATCGAGCATATCCTTTATGATTGCTCTCATTTATTAGAATATTTGTGTTCGGCGAGTATCGGCTAACACCGGCCAATATAAGAGAAGCACCTCTTGGCGACGTTGTCAACTACATTAAATCTGTAGGCTGGTTCACGAGCTAGGAGGTGCCTATCATCTCAGGAGGATGCACAATGGGCATAATGAGGCCTAAGTGCCGTGGGGTAACCCACCCTCAACGCGTTACAGATACAGATCATCATCTAAATCTCCTATAAATGGAGATTTATAATGCCTTTTCCATATATTATGTTTTATAGACAACAACGAAGATATAAAGTTTTTAAAATGAAGTTAGGAGTAGTATGTATGAGGACAAGGACTCTAATGTTAAAACATGAGGTTTGCAATAAGTTTTATTTTAGCATGGAATTTATTTGCCACTAATTACGTTGTCACTATTAGTGGCTGACGTTACAGAAATTTGCAATATCTCTCTAATGAAGTACATACGTAAGTAATTAAAAAAAATAATTTATAATAGCCTTGTACTTAGTTATTTCATAATAAAATAAAAATTGGTACGTGCCAGTTCATGCGGTCCGACCGCGTTGTAACGTTGGCCGGGCCATATAAACTGGCAACGCAGATATTCGTTACCTGCTAACTCTCTGTAGTTTACCCTTGGACATTAGTATTGGAAAGCGTTCGATAGCCGGCACTGTATACCTTAGATAAGCTAAGCCACAAAATAAAAATTTTACAGGGGTGACATTTTGAACTACATCTTTATTTATTTATTAAAATATTATTTCCTAGTTTTATATAGAACATATATATGTTACTAATTCGGTGTTCATTTATTCGCTTATTTATATCTGTAGAAATTTGAATCAAGTCACTAAAGTAACCCATAATTTAAAAAAAGCTAAATTGGTGGTTCCCATCTTATCGAGACTGAGGCCCTAACGGCTTATAGAAATTTGAATCAGGTCACTAAACTAACCCATAATTTGAGAGACGCTAAATTGGTGGTTCCCATCTTACCGAGACTGGGGCCCTAACGGGCAAACTTGTAGTATAAAAGAAACGAGAAATGATTTGATTTTGAACGAAAGATCGAAAGACTATGAACATTATTAAGACGATAAATTTTCATGTTTGTGAAGCATTGGCGTTAAACGAAGTAGATAATCTTCAGATTCTAGCCCTTGTTTTTAAGAATAATTCCATGTCTCCTTTTGATTGGGGTTTACAAGTTGTTTGAACAATTTAAAAAATATATTTGGGCCCCTTAATCCTTAAGTAAGTTTAAACATATTTGGCACTTTTAATCCATACGCCTACCTATGTAATATTTGACCTATTTATGCCTTAATACTGTCTATGTTTTTGTAAAAATAGTTGGTCTTATTATCCCTTCAGCCTCCCATATCCAAATATTTGATTCATTTATTTCTTACGCCTGTCAAAGTGTAAAAATATTTGGGCCATTTACCTGTTAAGCCTATTTACAACTTAAGCTTACCCATATACAAATATTTGGACACTAACTCTTAAGTCTATCTAAGAAAAATATACCCCATTATACTGTACGCATGCCGACGCAAAAGTATTTGGCCCTTTCCCTTTACTCTTTAATCCCTTAAGCCTGCCATGTAAAATAATATTTGGACTCTTTACTTTTTTTGATCCTAATATCTAATTCACGTACAAGTTATATTCTGGAGTTCGTTAAAGGTTGTGCAAAAATTGTCGTTACTTTATATCACCCTGTATGTTATTCGCGTGATATTCACATTCATTTAATATCTTAAACTATTATTTTCACATATCCACTTTTATTTGTATTAAATAACTCCCCAAATAAAATCTTTTAAAAGACGTACAAAAAACATTAAATAATTTGAAATTTAATAAAAAAATATCTGTGGTTTCAGAGTTGACAAGCATAGCCATCCATATATTGGAATGTGAAAAGTAATAAAAAGTGGCCCCCTCCCCCAAAGGTAGGCCACACTAAGAAATTGACTAACACCTGCGAGATCTAAAGTACTGATATTAATGTTGTTCCTTACCTTGCTTTTTGACAATGTTTGTTGTTAATTTGATAATCGATAATTTTCCTTCCTGTTGAGTTTGTAAATGAACTTTTATTAGATCCAGAGGATGAGTACAGCAAGCGGCACCGGCTGAAGCCAATCCCCCAAAGTACCATCTCGCTACTCTTGCATTATCCTTGGACATAATTCTGAAGATGTGTTACATATATTTTCTTCCAAAATTTGAATGGATAACCTAAAATAATATAATAACGTAAAAAAATCGTTTTTGTTTTATTTATTAAATAATTATAGAACCTTATCCTATTGAGTTTGCTAGAAGATTATGTAATTTATTAATCTGAAAACATTGGCTTGCGCGTATTATACACATTGTTATCAATTTGTATGTTATCTGAGGTATTAAATTCTATAATAGTTATAAAATGTTTATACTCGGAATTCATCTTTTTTTTTATTTAAAAAACATAGTGATTTTTGGCAGAGTAAGTTAATTAAATCAACACAAACAATAGCTGACAAAGTGAAATGAATGAATATTGTTATTATAAATAATGCAAAGTAATTATTAGAATTTTATTATAAAATAAATTATAATTAAACAAATAATTTTTCTAGAAATTAATACATATTATTAACTTTTCAAATAAAGAAGTATTATTGTAAGTACGTCTAATTATTGTTGTAAAATTATTTCTAGGTTTAGACCTAGAAATAATTTTGGGTATGATTGAAAATTGAAACCAAAACTTGTTTACTGACGAATGTGTATTTTCTATTTAATTTGGAATTAGGTAATTCCAAAATAATGAGATAAAAAAATATACATGTCGTTTGTTTGAATATTTTCCATGCGAAAACCCTATTAAAGTAATAGCTTAAGTATTCTGGCTATTAGATCTATATATTGAATACATCAGTGGCGGCTTGTCTGTGAGGGCTGTAGGGCTGTAGGGCTACAGCCCCCATAACAAGGGGAAAGCAGTTCATATAAAAATAAAATGAAAATGTATAGTAAGCTGGACTACCCACTGGACGTCCAAAAATAAGTTTTTTTTTAACTTTTGACTTCCAATGGCCGTCCAGCGAAGTATACAAATGGCACACTTTTGACTATTTAGTAGACGTCCAATTCTGGACGTTGAATACCGGACATTTAACAAACGTATATTCCTGGATTATATTCCATTGAGACCACATCCCCATCCCCATTTTCTTTTTACGCAATCGCAACTCACTACACGCTATTTTATATTATTAATTATTTATTTATTATTTTTGCAACCCGCTATACACCATTTTACTGTTGTTTAGTGGTGTTTGTTTTTTATTTTTGGACTATTTTCTAGTGTTAGAATTTTTATAATATCGGTAGTTTGATTTTTGAAATACGAGCTACAAAACAGCTAAGAAAAATCACGTTTGCAAACACAATTTTTACAAACAGAAATCATGAGAAGAAAGGGACTGAATCTAAACTAAATAATATTCTGCGATTATCATTCACAATTATTAAATTAATTACAGCTTTGTCCACCCTACATTTAAAAGCAGATGATATGGTTCCTTACAAGCATTAAACACAACCAAGAGCAAGAAAAGTCAAAGGGCTTTACTAAAAGAACATACCTTATTGAAAAGAGGTTTGCTACAGGAAGTTTTTAGTAAAAATTAGTTAAAAATAATTTTAATGAAGAAAACAAGGGCCTGTTGGATATATACAATGTATATGTATATCGACAGTAAAAAATATATTTTGTCATTTCCTACTTATTTTATGTATGAACAGTATAATGTACCCTTAAAAAAAATACGATTCGCGTCCGAATGTCATCTATAAATCATAAAATTAAATGCATATTTTCAATTTTAACATTTATCATTGATATTCTAAACATTGCACCCCTATTTTTTAAAAGATCGCTTTTTGGAAAGTGAAAAATGATATCCTTTCTTCTGATGCTTTTTGTTTGTAAAAATTGTGTTTGCAAACAGCAACACTATAGCTCGCTCTAGGCATACTAAAATTTCAAATTATTTCAGGGTATAAACAAAATGTGGTCCGAGTGCAACTTGGAGGCCGTACCCTAACCCAAAATGTTTAAAATAAACCATTAACACAATAATACTTCTCTTTATAATTCAAATGAAAATCTGATGTGTCCAACACATGACTTTCCTGTATAGGCTCTTTCCGATTATTCCCTGTAAATGTTTAGAGGATGAACTAAATATATAAAATATATATATATATATATATATATATATATATATATATATATATATATATATATATATATATATATATATATATTTTCCAAACATCTTACTCAAAACATTTTTTTATGTCCATTTTCAACGAAAATAATGAAAAATTAAAATTTTGCACTTTTTCCATTACGGTGCATTTTAGAGAAATCATGTATGGAATAAAAATATAGAGATCGATAACGCAAACAAATTTTAGTTGAAAAATCTTCTTAAAAATTAAAATTTTGCACTTTATGTCAAATTTATCGAATTCGGACCATTTTAAGAAAATTATGTGAATGACAAAAAATATAGAGAATAACCTTATAAGCAATTTTTATTTGAAGAATGTTCTGTAAGTGTAAATAACAGTTATATTCCATGAAGTAGAAAAACGACCACCCACTATAAAGTACCCACCCAGATGTTCCGACTATGCCCAAAATTTAATTAGTTCAACGCAGGATCGATTAAAGCCTAAATTTAAAATTTGGTGTTTTTTCTTAATCCGTTTTTGAGTTATCTTAAAGTTTTCTCATTTTTTTAAATATCTCGAATACGGTCGATTTTAGAGAAATTATGTATGGAACAAGAATTATAGAGAATAACATCATAAACAACTTTTATTTAAAAATTTTTCTCAAAAATTCGAATTTTGCACTTTTTGACAAATTTCTCGAATAAGGACCACTTTAGGAAAATTATGTATGGGAAAAGGATTATAGAAAATATTATTACAAGCAACTTTTATTTAAAGAATTTTCTCTTTCAAGCGTAAATAACAGATATATTCCATAAAGTAGAAAAAGATTTCAGATTTTCAGACTTTGCTCAAAATCTAATCAGTTCATCGCAGGCCGGAATGAATGGTGCGCACGTATGCACATAAAAATCCCTCAAAAAAATCAAGGCCGAAAAAAATAATGATTACTATACTTTCCTTATCTGTATGCAGAGAGGAAAGTAAAAAGTAATTCAATTAAAATTTTATGAAAATCATTACATAATTTTTCCTTGCTGTTTTGTAGCTTGTCTTTCAAAAAATGAAACTATTGATATTATAAAAACTTTAACACTAAAAAATAGTCCAAAAATAAAAATATAAACGCCACTAAATAATAATAAACGATTGGATTTTTTAAAAAACCAATGTACGAACCGTAGCAACATATTTTCGTCACCAAGATTTTTCATTCTAAGACGTCACATCTCCGCCCCTAAAATTTGTATATTTTCCTTAGTGGATCGTAGAAAAAATGAACTGTACAACTCGAGTGGATTGTCCATATCTACTTTTGTTGCACAAACACATTAACATAATTTTCAAAGAGAGTTTTTGCCCACAACACAATGTTTATTAGATTAGATGGAAAGAAAATTATGTTTCCTTTAAAGTCGATTATTCGATTAAACGATCATTAAATTATTATAATTAATCGATTAATCGAAATTGAATATAATAATTATCTTTGAAAACTCGAGAAATATCGATTAATCGAGAATAATCGATTATTCTAAAATAATAGATTAATTGAAAGATTATTTTCGATTAATAGATTATGATTAATCGAAAATAATCGATTAACCGAAAATAATTGAAAATAATCGACTAATCGAAAAAAATCGACTAATCGATTAATAGTCGATTATTTTGTACACCCTTAATTTTCTATATGGAGTGTGACTCAAACGTGCCTGTTTTATTGCATGGCAAAAATGCGAAAGAAAATAAAAGTTCCGGACACATGGCAACGTGTAACAAACCGTTTAACCGCTAGAAAGTGACCTAACTGTTGTCAATGTGAAGCAATTTACGTATATATTAAGTTTTTTATGTTCTTAGCAGTGGCGGCTCGTGGGCACTAGCGGCAGTGGAAAGGAATCCCGGGATTCGTTTTTCCCTTAGGAAAACAAGTTCTCCGCTTAATGAAAATTAAACATATTTGAAAACAAATTAAATATTACAAAATTGAAGACTAACTGCTAGGTATCGCTGCAGTTGTATACTATTTCTTATAGTTGAAGTCCATTCTTCTGGATTTTTGGCTAGCGAAGTGATCGATGACCAGATTATTAAAATTTGGAATGGACCGAATAAGTTTTTTTCCATGGATAACATGGCTAACGCGCACAATCTATCTTGGCACATAGTGTTCCTTAAAAATGTTTTAATATGTTTTAGTGTCGAAAAACATATTTCACTCTCCACTGTGGTCATGGGAATTGTACACAGGATAGCAGCTCCACAGATTCCGAAAATGTAACTGTCAAATTGTTCTCAAATAACATTTGTAATAACGGTACATTCGTATCTGGTATAGGTAATCTGTGCCATGGGTACAGCACGTCACGATAAGGACAGCGCCCCGCTTGTGACGTATAATCCTTCGCATGTGTTTATCTCTTGCTAAGCGATATTGTCGTTGTCCTTGTTTTTCGAATCATAATGAGAGAGAAAACAACAGAGGCACACATTTACTGTGCCTTTCTTCCACTTAATTTCGGAATTCTCGGAAGGTCGCTCAACGCCCGGTCGTCCAGTGTCGTGCCAACGCGGTTTGCGCTGAATATTAGATAAAATAATAATAGGCATTAAGGAAAATATAAAATATGTAAGTATTTTTTTTTTGTTTATTATACTAGGGCACGTGTCCAAGTGCCCTTACGGGCAAACCGCCACTGGTTCTTAGATTCAAATAAGGTACCTAAAAACGTAAATATACAAATAAGTAAATATTCTTAAGCATGATATATTATAGTGTTAAGTAACAATTATGTATTTTAAAAATTTTCTGCATAATTTTTATAATGAAAGAAATTCTTTTTTCGATATATGACAACTCTGTGAGACATTACTGAAATTTTCCCACTGTCTATTTTTTTGAAATCGTAGTATACTGGATAAAAAATGCTTGCAAGGGCAAAACTCTGATTTGAGAGCCATAAAAACATTTTGAGAGCAATTGAATCACTTTTATAATTTTGGTTCCTCTTGTACACCTATTTCAAAAAACTGGTAACTTTTCGCCAGATTGCAATTTCGCCAACACAAAAAAAAGCTTGCAATATCATCTTAGATTCAGAAAAAAACAAGTTTAAGCTATATTTCGAAATTCGTTGAAACACGTAAATAAAAACCGGACTACAGAAACTGCTTGCAAAGGGATTTTTTAATTGTTATTGGCACCTAGAAGCATTATATTCTCGATATTATATTTCATTGTCACATGACCGCTTCAGGAACTTATAGCAGGGACGACTTATCTGCCACTGATATTTCATAGATTAAGTAATTTTAAATTGTTACTGGCGAACAAGTATTATAATATCTATAATATCTGTTAATATAATATATATTAACATCTATTCGCTCTGTGCGTGACATCAGCGCCAATTCTTTTTAAGCTATTGCATGGCTTTTATCGCGGGATTTGAGCGCGGCGACCGAATCAAGAAATTCCGTAATCCGTAACGAAAAAAAACACCCCCCACTCTGACCGGCACAGCGGTGCGGCGTTAAACAATATTAACTTCTCATTTATTCAATAAAAGAAAATCGAAAAATCGAAAAATTGAAAAATTGAAAAATTGAAAAATTAAAAAATTGAAAAATGAAAAATTGAAAAATTGAAAAATTGAAAAATTGAAAAATTAAAAAATTGAAAAATTGAAAAATCGAAAAATTGAAAATTCGAAAAATTGAAAAATCCAAAAATCCAAAAATCCAAAAATCGAAAAATCGAAAAATCGTAAAATGGAAAAATGAAAAAATGGAAAAATGGAAAAATCGAAAAAAAAAAAAATTGCCGACCGGCACAGCAGTGCGGCGTTGAAAGCCGTGCATCGTCTAACGTCGTTTCAGTTCGGCAGACTTCGACACGGTGTTTGTGTGCGTGCGACTAGACGTATGCGTGTAGACTAGCTGCTAACTGCTCATAACTGATTCTATCTCCTTTAGACACAATTTCGGAAAAATTAAATTTGAAAATGAATAATGATCCACAAGAATCCACAAAAAAATATGGGACCACCATTAACGCGGTATTTTCCAGATATTTAGAGGATATCAAGTCTCAAACTTATGTTTCTTATTTCAGTTACCATAAACCTATAGTTTCAATGATAAAAATTCCTGAATAACCTACATGTATTGTAAGATAATAAAAATATTTTAAACAATATTAACTTCTCATTTATTCAATAAAAGAAAAAAAAATGTTTTCTTATCGGTCACCACGCTCAAAAAGTGTAACTTGAATTAATATCAATGAAAAAACTTGAATTATTATCAAAGAAAAAAAAATACTGCATAAATAAAATAAATAAATAAATAATTAAAATTGCATAAGTTGATAAAAAATGCTATGCAATAGCTTTACCGCGGCAGTCCCCGAGTGCTACACGTATTCTTTGTACTAATAGACTATTTTTGTATAAACTGTCAATACAATTTTTATTAGAATTCGTAATTAAAAAGTATATATGTTATAGTTTTAATAAAATTATAAGGATTTGTAAAACAAATAAAACATTAATTTATTATTATTATATATTTTTATCGCTAAACTAAAAAAATTAAATAAATTCATTAATAAAATAAAGGCAGGCAACAGTATTTACGCGAAACGGGAAAATGTATGAGAAGTTGCCTAAGCCTAAAAATTCAGGAAAATAAAATGTCCTAAAAAATTGTAAAAATTAAGATGAAGTATAAAATGAGGGACTATTAGGAAAGATTTCTCTGTTCGCACTGACCTACCGTGCGATGATCGTACCTGTAAGACCCATTCAAAAAAAAATCTTTGTTTGCACTATTTGTAAACAAATACCTATGTTCAAATGCAAAGAAGGTTTTTGAATGAAGGTCAGAATTAATAATTTAAAAGTGGAATTTAAATTCATTATTCCTTGACCCACCAGTTGCTCAGTTTTTAAAAACATGACAATCACAATAATGAAAATTTTAACGAATACGAAGTAGGTATATGGTATATTGATAATGAGCAATTTTTGTAATTTTCATAATAATTATAAGAATAACTGAATGAAGCAAAGCTAGATAGACAACATTATTTACATCTTACATCACAATTTTTATAAAACGTCACACCCGCCGAACGTACACTTAACCATTTTCTATTTTAGGAACTCGGACACTTATACTTAGCCATCTCAAGGTTATTTTTGCCATGATATGCCTAATTTTAGGTTAGTTTTCTAAAATTACATCAAGGTGCAATTTTTAAGTTCTCTTACCTTTAAACTGTTTTGTTTGTGCACCAGTTCAATGAAATTCCAACAAGTTAGCAGGTAAATATTACTAAAAACGGTTTTCACATACTACTTCACTGTATTGATTTCTATTAGATACTGAATACTGATCCATGAAAATTATTATCGTTTTAACCGTTTATTCATGATTGACGGAAACTTCGACAGTGGTTCGATGTTAGTTTAACTTTAACCAAGGTCAAAATAGTATTCAGGACAACATTGAAAGTTATACATTCACATTTTAACATGTTACACATTTTTTATGTATTATGATAAATGACAGATGTAGATGCGTGCAAAGGGCATTTTTATCTTGCAGTGACCTGACCTCCAAAAACAATTTCAAATGAAAACTCTGTATTAATTATCAAGAATGATCAAGACATTCACATTGGAGTGAGTGCCAGCAAGTTATATTTTTAATTTTAACTTTTTAAATCTATTTATAAAACTATTCCCCCCATCCACTATTCCTCTCCATTCTTTTTTTTAGTCTTGATACCTAGGTAGTTATCAATCTATAGATGTAAAAGTAGTGACAGTTGAATAATACAGGTTTTAAGTCAAGTCAGAGTCAAGATTCAAAAGAAACTGGATTGGCAGATTTAAATCACACTAATGTTTTTTTAAATAATTTGAAATTATTAAACAATATTGCTGACTACTCTATCTAGAAATAATTTTATTTGATAAACTGCGAAGTGGGAACTGAAAATGCTTCTAATATATTCTTTTTATTTAAAATGTTTAGTGTGAATCCTGCTTTAAATTTTGAAAGATCTGTCAGCTAGTCAACAGTTGTGTTTTTTTATTTATAACCTACTCATATAAAATGGTTAAAAAAGATCTTAAAACTAAGGTTTTAAACAAATGAACATTCTTTTTTAGCGGAGCACAAGTTGAGAAGCAGTTTGGTGAGGTAAGGTGAGGTGACTCGTCCTGTATTTCTGTAAAACACAGAAATTATTACAAACTGAGTCACTTTATTACCCTGTGTGCGAACATTCACTGTTATATTTATTTCTGTGTTTTACTGAAACTCACCATGAGTCACCTCACCTCACTAAACTGTGTCTCAATACATTAGTATGGAGGGTGCCAAGATCGAAAGAAGTGATTTTTATTGATTTTTTAAGGTTTGAGAAACTTTATTTATCATAACTGAGTGGGTACCTATTCATTTTAAAAATTGAAAACTTGTTGAAGGCAAAAATATAAGTAATGTGATGACTTCATTCAGCCTCTAAATTCTAGATTTGTTTTTAGGTTTAGACATTATCTTTTAGTACTTACTCCGAGACTTTACTCTTTATTTGCATTGTATGGTAAATATATTATACTCTATTTTTAAACTAGGAGGATCAAATTGAAACGATGCATATACACAGGGAAAAGTAATTAGATTCCTTACTAAGAGCATGTTCCGAAATATAGTCATGTTCAAAATCTATAAAATAGTTGTCATTATTGACCCTAGTCGGTGAATGGCCAATGAGTGGTCAAGAGTGATTAAATGTTATAGTTTATCAGAAACATTTTTTCTTGCTTTTGAAATCGACTTTTTGAGATTAACTATGATCATTTTAAAATGGAGATTAAATATTTAAGAAAATTGCTAACAGAATATATAGATGCAGGTTAGTATAAAATATAAAAATATGGCCTGTTTACATTTTCAAGGATATATTTGTTATAGGTATAAACTTAAGTAAAAGTTGATTAGTTGCTTGGACCCATTTCCCATACAGTACTCTTTACTCTCAGTGAATAACAACTGGACTTCGAGCATAGTAGTCTAAGATCCGAAGTAAGGTCGACCTTCACCCATATGTTTAATGGATGAAAGTTTCTTTTTATTAAATAAAATGTGTTTATAAATATACCGCAAATGGGTTGCCTAAGAAAATACGGTCCAGACTATTTATTTTCTTAAAGTAAAAAAAACGACACCCTGTAAAGTATTCTCCAGATGCTTTGCCTATACCTAAACTTTAATCAGCTCACCTTAGGATGGATTGAAGCTTAAGTTTAAAATTTGGCGTCTTTCTCTTTATCCGTTTTTGAGTTATCTTCAAAATTCGAAATTTGCACTTTTCCTCAAATATCTCGAATTAGGTCCATTTTAGGGAAATCATGTATAGGAACAAAATAATAGAGAATGACATCATAAGCAACTTTTATCATGATTCCTATACTTTCCTTATCTGTACACAGAAAAGAAAGTAAAAAATGGCCGTGACCGTATTTTCCTAGGCAAACTATTTGCGGTATATTTAAATACATATTTTATTTATTAAAAAAAAAACTTTTATCCATTAAACAGATGGGTGAAGGTCGACACTACTTACGGATCCCGGACTATAGGTATATATGCTCGAAGCAACTGAATCACACATTGACTGGAATTTCTCCTATGAGCAATACAGATATTGTAGCTAATTTAATGTTAACCCATAGTTGATACACTAAAGGTCAAATGAAGGTATTCAAAAGGTTACAGGCCTATTGTGAGTCAGGTTGTTTTGAAAACTGGAACCCACATTTTCCTAACACATCATGTCAACATTATATCATTACTTTTCAATAATATTGTAGTTCCTTTTAACTTTGGTTGAAATTTTTATATTTTTTTAATTTAAATTATACTTGCCTATACATATATTAATTTTAAGTAGATATTTTTTAATTATTTGTTGTAGAAGTATTGTTAGCTCATTATGCTAATGTAGTAGACCTTGTTTTAAATGTTAATTAACAATTTTATAAATGGTTTACTTGAATATTTGGTTAAATTTTAATCATTTTGGTAAGAAATTTATCAATTTTTAGTTTTAAAAAAATCAGTAATAAAGTTGTTGGTTTTTTTTTCTAAAATAGGAATTCATTTCTTAATGGTAATCTCCCGTCTTTTTGCCTTAAAAAATCAATAATGCATTTGCTGCAAAACCTTCTTCAGAACCAGCATATATACTTAATAATAAGGCATCTTTCCTTTCTTGTAGGGATTTTCAGGAACACCCACAATAGGTGTAGAAGGACCCATAATTGTAGAAATTCAATACAATTGCTTACTGAAGTTCTGAAGAAGAACTGTTAATTAACGAAAAAAAGTTAAAACTAAGTAATAGTGATGAGATATCAAAGGGACGAAAGCAATAACAAAACTAAAAATATAAAATGTCAGAACTGGCAATAATTGTCAGTAATTGAAGTAGCTGCGATGTTAATGCTAAAAAGTGATGTGTGAAACTGACTGCAATCTGACCAAACAGAAGTCTACAGAATTGCCAACTTAAATTCAAATCGCTCCTCCTAGTTTAAAAACAGATTTTTTTATAGTATTTTTAAAAAAATAATCTTCGAACGATGCCAGCAGAGCACCTCGGTTTTTAAAAGCTTTTTTCTAAAAACAACCACCACACACCTTTTTAGACTATTTTTAGGCTCTATTTACTCGAAATTGTTATTAACATCTATAAAATAATTTTGTACGCCAATGTATCGCGTTCACTTCGGTTAGATCCGCCGCAAACCTGTCAATTTATGTGTATAAAGTGGGAAAACTGGCAAAAGCCTTTCCAACTTCTACTTGTGCTATAGCAGAGGATGACCGCTGGACTGTTGACTAGCGAGATCGCTGTGGCTTGACAAGCACAATAAAGCGGACCGCTAGACGGACCGCTCTGGCCCAACAGGTAAAAGGTTCCGCACACTCCACGGCGGGCCCTGGTTACCGCAAATTTTTTTTTTTTCGAAAAACCATGAAAAAAATATGAACTTTTTATTATATTACATAGTACTATACGTATCTTGCAGAATACACTACAACAAAAAAAAATAATTTGGCCCGACGGGCCATTTTCGTGATTTCCTTATGTCATTGAACATGTTAAAACATTTCCATAAAATTTGCTATTTCATAAATACGGGTGTTTTCTACTATAATTTTTTTAAAAATAGCATTTTTTTTTAATAAAGGTTTATAAAATTTTAAGAACGTAAAAATAGCTTAAAAATGGTGTGGTTGTTTTTAGAAAAAAAGCTTTAAAAAAATAAGGTGGTACTCTACTGGGATGGTTCGAAGGTAGCAAAACACCCGTAGTTTTTAAAATTTATATACGTGTTTTTCGAAAAGTTTTATAACCTTTTAAGAGCCTAAAAATAGTCTGAAATTGTGGCATTAGTAGTTTTTTCAGAAAAAAAAAAAAAAATTAATAAACCGAGGTGCTCTGCTGACTTTGTTCCAACAACATTTAAAAAAATTACTAATCTTTTTCAAAAAGTTTTATAATATTATAAGAGCCTAAAAATAGCCTAAAAATGTGGTGTGGCTGTTTTTAGAAAAAAAGCTTTAAAAACCGAGATGCTTAAAATATTTGAATGTGGTATAAAAATAGCCTTAAAAGAGCCTAAAAATATGGCAGAGGTTCAACTCAAAATTTCCTAGGTGCTCTGCTCCTTTCTTTGGCATCATTAATAAAAAAGTAAGGTTAGCAAACTTTGTTATTTTTGCGAATCATCATCCATTTTTGACCATTCTGACAGGGCGTCGAATTGCCTAATTAAAAATTAACTTTGCAATCAATAAATTACTATTTTTCGACCACAAATTATGTATTATGTATGTTATAAGTTAAGTTAAAAATGAAGAATAATAATGACTGAAGCAATTAATTAATAAAAAAAATATTATAATTTTTCCATTGTATTAACTAAAACAGTATAGTAAGTAGTTCGTACAATTTTATGGAAAAATACGAAATATCAGCTCATTGACTCGAATCAGGCATATATTTAATAAATTAAAGTAATTTAACGTAATTTAAGCGGGTCTGCCATATTAATATTTAGCATGTTTTTGTTTCTAAAGTAGGCCATGACTGGCAAAGACAGATACGAATCATTGCCGTGATAACCTCGCACGGATCTGAATTAAATCTAAATTGTACGCTCCGACATGCGTGAGTTTTTCTGAAGCCTACTTTAAAAACTTTTTTTGTGGATCAATCCATATTTTTCGACGTTAACTCTTGATG